GGCATGCAGGAATAGTCTGACACACTGGCACAGGGCTCTCACTCAGCGTCTCCGCGAGTCTCACCCAATGCCAATGGCGAGGAAAATGTCAAACAAAGCCGCTATCTGTATATGGAAACTGGTTACTTGCAACGTCGAACACTTCCTCTCTGCTCCTGCTCGCAGTTACATGTACATGTACATCATACCCTGAACGAGTGTCTGCCAGCAGGGCGTCAGTCGTGCCCGAACTGGACTGGTTACAGGTTAGGGCCTAGGGTACGACTGACTGCCTGGTGCAGTGGTGGCAGCCAAACGTGTTCCTGCAGGGTCAACTCCAACGAAGACACACTGTCCGCACTCTGGGAGCCGGAGGCCAGGACATCCGAGTGCTCTGACTTCGGTGGGGGGTGTTAAGGCAAGTCGAGTTCACTGTGCAGCAGTAGTTGACGTAAGAATAGGTCTTCGTAGAAAATGACACCTTTCCCACGCGTAGGGTAACTAATTCCGCTGATCCTTCATTGGCTTCAACTGAGGGGCTCTGGTGCCTAGGACATAAACCGTGGATAGTTGGAGAAAGGTCGCTGTTTCCGAACACAGTGTCCTCCACCTTGTTTCATGCTGTCAAACCAACAACATGACTAGTCGAGTCGTACATGTACAGCACCTTCCGTAAACGGAACATGTTCTAATATAAATTAATTGTACCGCTAGCACCCTCGACAGACATGACTGCAGGCATCATGCATTGACACGGTGTCTCCGATTCTACCCCTCCCACTCCAGCTGTGACTGCACTCTGACTGGCGGTCACATACATGTACATGAATTGTATGTCTGCTCATCGCAAAGTACTTACATTATCATTGCTATCAGGTACATCAAGGCAAGAGTAGTACCATGATTGTACTCTTGCTTACATAATGCATGTATATGTACATGTGTATGTCCTGGCTACTCAATCTGCGTCCTGTCTACCTGGTCTACTCTTCACAGACTTCAGCAGCTTCAGGCTGCATGCACTCCCGGTACTCAGCCTGAGAAGCAGGCACCGAGTAAGACAGTGAGAGACGGGGACGGACTAAGCTTCGTCTATGCCTATGGGAGCGTAGAGAGGAAGAGACCGAAACGGATATACAGTGGTGGTCAAAAGTTTTGACCCACCATGCAGATTTTTCGAATTCTGAAGGTTTGTGCTGTAAGCTACTAAATTTTTGGTCGAGGACCTCTGAATCAGGCTGAATAGTGAAGTAGAAATGAAAAATGCTGAAAGACGGAGTCATCTGGGGACTACTGTGGTCAAGTATATGTAAAAGGCGGGTCAAAACTTATGGCCAACGCCCGCACTATCATAAACCGCCAACAGGATACACGGAATAGTGTGATTTCTAAAAAGTATTCAACTAAACTAAAGTCTAGAAGTCAGTCCTGGCCTATTCCAGATACATCCACCACTTTGTAACCCCTCCCTTGGCCTTGATGATCGCTTGCATACGCTGCCGCATTGAATTGACGATCTTCTTGCGCTCGTGAGGAGAAATCAACTTCTATGCCTCCCGGCACACTCGCCACAGCTCATACTGGTTTCTGGGGGTGATTTCAACATCGTGCTGCTTCAGCCCAGCAATTTTGCAGAGATTCTCAGTTGGATTGAGGTCAGGTGGCTGCAGGGGCCATGTCAGGACGGTGATGCCGTTCACCGTCCGCCGCGCCTCCGTTCTGTTTGCGGAGCGTTTGCGGCCATAAGACACCACCCACACCACCCACAAGCTGCATCATGCTCAGCAACATCATGTTTTCGGATGATGCGAGGTACTGGTCCGCATTCATCGTATCCATCACCCGGCAAATGCGCGCTACGCCGTTGCTGGCCATGGCTCCCATACATTGATATTGCCGTCGCGGCGCTTCACAGTTTTGCGGGTACATGTGCCAGCCAGAGCCTATCCTGTCCACCTCCTGACGTAAACTGCATCACCAGAGCCCTTGAGGTTGATTTTAGACTCATCAGTCCACAGAATTTACCACCAGTCATCACTGCTCCAGTCCTTGTGCGTCTATACAAATTTAAGGCGTTTTGCCTTATTCACAGCACTGATGAAGGGCCATTTGATGGCCATACAGCCACGAAGGCCTGCTCTCTGCAACTTGCGTCTCACAGAACGCACAGAAATCGCGTTATCACCGTCGCTCACCATCTCAGCTCGCAGGCAGTGATGGATTTGAGGCGATTCTCCATTGACTTCATGATATGGTGGCGATCTTGTCTTGCACTGGTCTCTCTTGGTCGGTCTGATCGAGGTGAAATGTAGTCAATTTTTGTTTCCTGACAATTCTACGTATCGTAGGATTACTCAAATCCAACAGAGGAGCGATACCACGCCAAAAGAGACCGTCAACACTCAGCTTCACGACCATTTCCCTCACATCCTTGCTAATCTGACCTCGGTTCACTATCCTGGCTGAAAATACCATCTCCGTCGTCAAAATAATCAAGTTTGATATCGCAAACTCTCAAAGTGAGAAGTCAAGTGTTGATTTTCAACTTTCCCGGCACGTGCATCAGCCTGACAACTTTTTTGAAACCGTACGGTACGGTAGAGCAAAATTTGGTCACGTGGCCATAAGTTTTGACCCACCCAAATGTATCGTGATCCATCACAAATCTCAGTTGACAACGGATTCTTTCAAATTTTAGTGTCCTTGCCAAGTTTCAATCGGCTTTGGCCTCAAAGAAGTCAAAAACGGCGTGTTTAGGAGCCAGGCTGAGCTGTACTGACGATTCCATGGGGTGGGTCAAAACTTTTGGCCACCACTGTAATTATTGTTCGAGTCCATTGTTTATTGTTATATGCAGCCATGTCCGTAAGAAATACTAAGAATGATGCTCTACTCGCACTGGCACAGCAGGCACGCAGATAGTAGAGTCTCCGAGATACATGTAAACCTTGTTTTTGTTCAAACATGTTGGTTGACCGCATCATGTAACCGTGGATGGTTGTAGAAAGGTCACTGTTTCCGAACACGGTGTCCTCCACCTTGTTACATGCTGTTAACCAACAACAGTCTCCGACTACTACTAGTAGTATGATCTGCAAGCCTTGCTTGATAGTATAAGTAATTAACAGGTTTGAGGACAACAGCTGGTACCAATGTGGAGGAGTGCGGGATGACACACTGTGTTGAGAACAGTACACTGTATTCCTGACTGCAACACAGTGTGTCCTCCGCATTGTCATCTGCTGTTATCCTCAAATACCGGTATGTCAAGTCTCCGACTAGTTCAGGTGTCAAAACATACCCTACATGATACCACACAAAATGCAATACTGCTGCTTCCCCCCCCCCCGGCCCTTTGCCCCCCCCCCCGTCCCGTTGCCCCCCCCCCCCCCCAGATGCAGTAAACCTACAATGTCATGTACATGTCCATGTACATGTACCACTGGCAGACTGACTCAACTGCAAAGACGATTTCAGAGACTAATCGTCTCTCTCCTCTTCTTGCCACTTGATTTGAAAGCCTGGGACAGACTATCACTAAAGTCATGTACATGTACATGTACATGTACGTGTACATGACATGATAGTTGACAAAAACTGACACTATCAATAATCTCAAATGGTGAACGGTACTATTCGGCCAATAAAATGTGAAGAACTCTTCCTCTCCTCTCCTCCATCCTCTCCTCTTCCTTGTATGGCTGTTGGTGTGTGTAATGGCTACCGAGGGTAGCAATGAGTCGGCTGTGAGAGCGCATGGAGGAGAGGAGAGGAAGAGTTCTTTACTATCAAAAATTATGTTATTATTTTTTTATGACTATGCTCTTCCGTCTGGCTATCTGTCTTTCTCAAATGTTTATCTCGCTGTCTGATCATGCTGGAGTTTTAATCTGTTCTGACCATGTAACATTGTTCCAGGAAGTAGTGCATTATTATTATTTTTATGATTTACTTCTCCCTCCTTCTGACCAGACCTAAAGCCTCCCATGCTTCTTTTTAAAAAACAATTGTAAGTATTGAAGATAGATAGTAGTAGATACATCCTCTACAATGTACATGATTGTATTCTATGCTCCCAAGCCTTCGTTTCTCACCGACACGGGCCGGGGCGCTGAGATGTTGTTCGCACACTGTATCTTGGATCTGGGCCTGGTCTGCATCATGTACACTATACATTGTACATGTCTGTACATTGTACAATGTACAGTGCTGGCAACTGAAATCCGACCCCCTGAGCAGTACGCTCACATCGCAAAGAATGTGAACCCACCCCTCCGGGGGTCGGATTTCAGTTGCCAGCACTGTACATCCAACGTTACATGTACATGACATGGTCTATGCTGTATGTTGTTGTATGCAGCTGGTCGTCGTGAAAAAGAACTCCCGAGGTACGTACATGTATCTGGTTATCGTGATCCACGGTTATCGCTCTCACTCTCGACCTCAGGATAATGAGTCAGAAATGACTCAGATTGCTCAGTTCAGCATGTTCAGTGGATCGCATAAGACCATTACATGCATACGACCATACTCCATAGCCTAGCCATGCGCGGTTAATGCATGCATGATCATTTTGACCGCTCGAAAAGAAAGACTTTGGAAGCGGGTGATTTTAGTGATGATCTTCCGACACCATCTACATGAGTCATGACTGTAAATCTACACTGGCTCGACACGCAGATCAGAGTCTACAACACTACTCTCCGTAGATCTAATGACTCTTGCCTGGCTGTAGTACATGGTAGTATAGTATAGTCACATATAGTGCATCATGAGACATGACATACGTACACGCTACGTGCATAACATACTGTGACTCTGTCAGTGTGACCCTCTGCACACACGACTACAGACACACTCTTCACTGTACTGAGAGTGAGAGAGTCCGCTCGCGAACAGTGACATCTTCCACTTTCAGGTCATTGCCAGCATGCACTAGATCTACTGACACACTGTCAGTGTTGCCATACCTGAGACTGGGTAGTCGGCTACTAGTATTTCCCCAGTATTCATGGTATTTGGACGGGTGTAAGACGTGTGGCTGTGGGAGCAGTTTTTTGTGCATCTTCGTCTCAGACCTGCAGTGCCACTGCAGTTGTTGCACTCTGGCCGTGAGAGATCGGTAGTGCCGTTCAGGTACTGACTGTCGTCCTCTGACGCTCTGTGGCATCAAGCAGCCCCAGGCCTGCATGACCTAGTGTGCATGCTGTGTGTTCCCCGACGAGGACAAACTATTTTTCCCTATCTCGACGCGAAGTCTTTGGCGATTTGGCAGCACTTGGTTGGAATTCTGCGAATGCCCAGCTGCGTGTGTGCACTGTAGTCTGTAGCTTCGTCGCCATGTGGCCGAGAAAGAAATCTACTCCACAGACGGTAACCGGGACGGACAAGGAATGGTCGCAAACTGGCACGCTGGTACACAAACCTCCTCGTGGTTGGCTGCACGCTGATACTGCCATTATCGACGGCGGAGGTGTTCTCTATTGTGTGCAGGTTGGTGGTGCTTTCTGCCTAGTCTATGTCTAACGTGCATGTGCAGTTCTGTAGCGTGCAGTTGTAGTGCTGTAGCGAGCTGTTGTGTGTACTGTCCTGGAGGTGGGCTGGTCGTATGGTTCCAGCATTCGACTATTTCTTCTTGTTTGTTGGAGATAGTCGCTGACTCTGATCAAAATTTTGATATCGGATGTGCGTGCCTTGTTTGCTCGCATGAGCATGCAAAGTGTACTGTGCTTTTACACCAAGTCTAAAGGTAACGAGAAATCTCTGTCGCATGACTGGCAAGTGGCAGGAGGAAACCACGCATGTGTTCTCGGGTTTTACATGGAATAGCCGTGTGTGTGTGTGTTGTCGGAGCGCTCGCAGATTTTCTTGCAGGTCGTCTGTCTCGGTATAGTAGATCTACGCGGTGTGCGTGTGTCACTGATAGTGATAGCCATGATCGTGATCCGCCGCTCTTCGAACGCTTTCTACATTTCTTGTCACAATTGCTCTCGGAAGTTCCGGCCAGGCGAATGAGCAGTGACTTGCATCCCCATTCCTCTTGCACTTGCACTCGACGTGGAACAAGCGATCTTTTACTGCGATGTCACTCTGGCCTTCAAGCCAAGTGACGGCCCGGCCTCGCGCGTTGTAGACAATCGCTCTGCGCAGGATGTGGCTAGCAGTGCTGCCATGCCGCTTCGTCTGCCACCAGTGTAGCGCCCACGAACGGGAGAAGACAGCCGACTCGCTCCACCCTGAAGCGCTCCGCAGCTCCTGCTCAGCTGCTGCACACTCACCATCTCGGGGCGGATCACAAAACGAAAAAACTAGCTATCACAAAGGTATCTTCCGTTTCTCGTTGCCTAGTCGTACGGCGATTATTTGGACACACCACTCACCAGAATGACTACAGTCTAGTACTCACCAGTTGTCATGTTCGGATTTTATACGCCTCGTTGCAGTCAATCTAGTTTGAGTTGGAAACATGGGTAGGAGAAACCCTACCAAACACAGGCTCTGTCAGTCATTACACCACGTCGTTGTTGTTGGTGCACTCGGGGTTTGTTCAGTGAAACTGTCAGCGCTTGCCTAGTTTAGTCAGGCCCGGTGTTGACAGCCTGTGTGTTGTGCTTGTTTGAAGTTAGTTGTTTCAGTAAATGCACTGTCTGTAGCCATGTCATGGTGTGAAGTGGACACAACAATCAACATACTAGTAGTCAGTGTTCACTTCATGGATTGTAAAAACCAATCGTTCTGCCATAGCTGGCACTAGTAATCAGAAATAGTCAAGACTCCTGAGCTGTTCCGTTCTTGCTTGACATGTGAGCCATGTGGAATAGGGTGATCTTGCAAGGTCAAGAACTGAGGGGTTGAGTGAAGAACGTCCAGACTGGAATTCTCGCAAATAACAGCATTGTATGAAGAAGGGTTGTTGCGCCGGACTTTGACGATCGACAACAGAATTGTAGTGTACATAAATATTGCATTGAAGAAAAAATGAACATGTTGTGCTCGATCGGTTTACCCTGTCATGGTTCTTCTGCGCACGAGATCACCGCAGTTGTGGCAGTGCCAATAATCAGTCGATAATCCGAGCATATACAGAATGATGATGTAAATGCACACAAACATTACATGGTGCCGAAAAGCCTAGAGCAAGACTGTGGCCACGCACAGAGAACATTGAACACTGCTATCTACATCTGAGAACTTGTTGGAAAGTCTATCTACAAAGCAGTCCAGTGTATGCCGGAGTAGTGGTTCCATCCAGGACAAGCAGTCTAGCCTGTCCAGGCTGCCAGTGAGTTTCTCCATTCCAGGGCAGGTAGGCCAGTAGTCCAGGACCGGTCTTCCAGGACATGAGGTGTGACATTACTTTCCAGATGGTGACATCATCACTATTGAGCCGAAACAATAGGGTATGTGCGGTATGGTCGTATAATGGGATAATGGGCACTTGGGGACGTAACAGTTAGTTGGCCAGTACATACACACTACCAATCACTGGCAGCCTATAGCTGTCACAAACAATGGTTATGGTCTATGCCTGTTGCTACTACGTAGACCATATGCTCATGTGCTCTTGAGTCATAACACACTCTCTTGTTGTGTGACTGCTGGGCAATTTGTGTTTGTGGATAGTAATGTCTGACAGGGCGCATTGTTCTTATTGATGCCCATTACAATGCCAAAGGTGACTGGTGGGAAACTGTGCATGCAGATCTACCCTGTACATATTCATTGTACTTACAGCACACCCACCCACAGTCATTATGCAGCTAAACTGTTCATGTGATTGTTGATGATGGTTGGTGGGCCTGGTGGCAGAAGGCATGCACCACGCTGCATATGAGTCCATTATAGATTATAATAAGCTGGGCAGTGCTACAAGCCACACATCATTCAATGGGCTATGAAGCAGAAGATGACTGCTGTTTGTCTTGTTAGTCGTGGGCGGACATATCGACCACACTGTACTGGTTGTGTGTAGCCCACCCAGCGGCCTGCAATTCCCTTTCAACTGGTTATTGTGAGTGGTGATTCAGGGACAGGTTGTCACTGTGTATAGTTTTTGACATTTCCCTGGAAGGTTGCTGCATTCAGATAGCGGGGCTACCATTCCGGTGTGACTGCTTACAGCACTTTAGAACACATCTTTTCGGTGTAACTTACAAGTAAATTTCGGCAATTTCGACTGACAAACCAGGCTACCATATTTAGATTTCACCTGACAGGCACTGTAATATGCATTGTGCCTGCGGGGGTTGCTGATCACCTAGTATTGCATTTCACCTGAAACCTGACAGGTTCCTGACAGTGAAATGTTAATACACCGTAATTTTAGGACACATACGATGACATGTTATACAGTGCTGTGCAGGAATGCGTGAAGTCATGTACGACTCGTATTGTCACCTCCATAATCAGTATACTATTTCAGTCTGTCATGGTCTTCTGTACCTACAGTATCATTGTATCGATGTCTACAATACTGTACCTTCTGCATGTCAGTGTGATCTTGCACTTGCAAGGATTTCCGTATATCCTTATCTCTCTCCTCTCCTCTCTCTCTCTCTCTCTCTCTCTCTCTCTCTCTCTCTCTCTCTCTCTCTCTCTCTCTCTCTCTCTCTCTCTCTCTCTCTCTCCCTATCTCTCTCTATCTATCTATCGATCTATCTATCTCCCGCTCCCCCCCCCCCCCCCCCCGATCTCTTTCTCTCTCCATTTTGTAATGTGTTCTCTGTTGTGTTCTGTGTGCTGTGTTCAGTATGTGGGGCTCATGAAGATCTTCAAGTCGATGCGTTCTCTCAAGTTTGAGGACAGAACACAAGTAACACGGTGAGTTACAGCTGTGTTGTGTGCCCTGTGCTGCTTCATCGTGGTGAATATTGGGAATGACTAGACGCATTTCCTGAAGATGGGCCTGGCCCGAAAATTTGGATTTTACTATTTTTGGAAGAATTTGTAGCCAAGAGACCGTTTTTGAGTAGTGGTGTATAACTGTGTGAAACATGAAGTGGCTACAGTGGAGTCTGCACACACTTAGGAAGGCTACATGTAGAACGTGGTATAGCTCCAAAATAAAGGCGGCTAGAGTATTTCTGATCAGAATGATGGGCATGCCAGCTAGTTCGGCTGGTGTCTACACTTATGCCACGTATAGCGTAGGGTCTGCTTCCAACGGGTTCGGCTATTTGAAGGTGTAATAGTGTACCTGCCACCGTTTTTGATTTCGGGGTTAACCATGGAATACTTCTGGCTAGATTAACTCTTGTGCAATCAATGGTGCTAGCGAAGCTTATAAGCTTATAATAATAATAATAATGATAATCAGATCCACTCTGATTTATCCACCCACATTAGTAGCACATCTGACCCTCACTGTGAAGGGGGGGGGGGGCAGGGGTAAATGCGTTTGGATCCTTGGACAGATACCCTGATGCCATCAATCCTTTTTTGCATGTTGTCCTAACCTACTTTAATACAGAGGTGTGTTGAGATCATTTCCAAGTCCACCCAGAGTTTGGGGATTTCAGGGAGTGTCCGCAAGGACTGCCCTTTTGAATCTCTCTCACCTCTCCCGGGAGTCCCACGTGACCAGTTTTCGAACTGTTTGGCCGTGAGCAAGTACAAGTAACTTACCAGTGTGTACGTGTGTGCATTTGTGTGTGTGTGCATTTGTGTGTGTGTGCGCATTGTGTGTGTGTGTGTGTGTGTGTGTGTGTGTGTGTGTGTGTGTGTGTGTGTGTGTGTGTGTGTGTGTGTGTGTGTGTGTGTGTGTGTGTGTGTGTGTGTGTGTGTGTGTGTGTGCATTTGTGTGTGTGTGTGTGTGTGTGTGTGGGCATTTGTGTGTGTGTGTGTGTGTGTGTGTGTGCATTTGTGTGTGTGTGTGTGTGTGTGGTGTGTGTGTGTGTGTGTGTGTGTGTGTGTGTGTGTGTGTGTGAGAGAGAGAGAAAGAGAGAGGGAGGGAGAAAAATGAATTGTTTGGCCGTGCGTATGTAGTAAACGTACTGTTTTTCTTTGTCTTGATCCAGCGAGGCAATGATGCGGTGTGTGGAGGAGTCTGGTGTTCGATCAATAAAGAAGAGAAAAGTAAGCTGAAGTGAATTAACTGTTCTTGTTGTGTTGAATGTGTTCATCCTATTTCCAAGATTGGTTCAACGATGTATGAGGGAAATATTTCTGATGTGTTGCGGTGTAGAACATGGGTTTCAGTGTTCAACAGCTCAGTCGGTATCTGCTGGAAGCTCTGTAATGGCCGGGTGTCTGCCTCTTCGTTCTGCGTGCATCTTGGATAACTCACATTAGCCGCGTGCAGTCACATCTACCGTATTTTCCGTAGTATAAGCGGCACCGGAGTATAAGCCGGACCCAGATTTTTTTGTCACAAAATACCGACATCTACCCCATTTCCAGCTACAGTGCCGTAAAGCCTGTGCAAACAACCATTGCACAATGAGACTGCATGTGCCTGCGCTTATCTGTGAACCATAACAAGTTATTGGAGGCTCCTGGTTTCAGGAATGTTCTTCTTCAAGTCTCACCATACGAGGTCTTTGAAAGCAGTCGACTCTGAAATTGGTGCGACCAAAGTACGTAAATGGTAAATGGTTGCCGTGAAAAAAAAGGATCGTACAGACAAGGTTATCGTTGAAAGCAATGGGTTGCTGGACCATATTGTACCTGTTCACAACTGTACTTGCTTAGGAAGCTCAGCACATGTATCGGATCCGAAGCACCGTTCCATGCAGTATGGGTTAGTTTCCGTGAATAGCCTGCACGACGGTGTTCGTCGCAGTGTCATTGAGGGTGCTTCAACTGGGCTTGCTTCTTTCTTCTTCTTCTTCACTTTGCTGCAGGTTCCCAAGCACATCTCGAAGATGCTGGGTGGTAAGCTGCTTGTGCTGTTGTACTCGTGTGCTGTCCTCGTGTATGCTGTCCTCGTGTGCTGTCCTCGTTTTGCTGTCCTCGTTTTGCTGTCTTCTGCTGCACACCATAGGCTCTTCGAGTGTCTGATGGGCCATCTCTCCAGTCTGTCCGTAGAAGATAGGACTTGCCTGTGGCCTCTGTCCTCCACCACCCTCCTTTTCATATCGTGTCATATCCTGTGGATGTATGAGATCTGCTGTATGTAATGAAATGACAGTGGTGTGCTTGACTATAACGAGGTGAGGGGCTGACCCGTATTCTCCTGGGTTCATTCCTTTCGCAGCCTTGCTTTACGTTGCACATTCTGAGACGGATAGCCAGTGTGTGTGTGTGTGTGTGTCAGCAGTGCATTCAGGGCATGTGTCTGCTCCCTTGGCATGGGCGCAATGCCGAAACACGACAGCCATTTCACCACTTTGGGGATAATGGCCAAAAAAGGATTCTTTTTCGTGGGATTTGTATCTCAATCCATGGTTGGGTACGGTGTTTAGAGGTGGTTCTAGTCAGATTTTAAATGTGAAATTTTGCTTGAAGGTGCCCCAAAAAAATTTTTTTGGCGAACTTGTTGATTACACTGAGCTCAACATCTGAATTCCTCAAATGTGCCGCTTGTGACGATTTGCATCTTTTTAACTCCTTGCATGTAGTCACACTTCTGGTAGAGGCTCTTCTGCTTTTTGATGCTCTTTTGCCATTGCTTCCTCGGCTCTGCCTGCAGACAAGCCAATAGTGAGCAGAGCTGGCACCAACGTCAACCTGAGAATATCCATCGATGGCTTGAAGTTGACAGCAGTGGATAGTGGTGAGGTGAGTGAGGTGTGACAGAGGAACATTCACACTACTAGTATTGCACATACATGCTGCTAGTACTTTGCCAAACATTTCCCCCGGGTGCAGCGCCATCTCTAAAGCCACCTGCACCGTCAAACGAGGATTCCCGTGCAGCCTCACTCTCAAAGCCACAGGGGATACCGCCTGGATAAACTGGTCCCTCACCAGCTCATCTTGCAAGTCACTCGGCATGCTGGGATACGCCCGCACCGCCAGCCAACGCAGATCATCCGCCAGATGCGCTAAATCCTCACCGGATCCACACCTCCTCGTGCGGAGTTGAGCCGTGAATTGCCGCTCATTAGCAGGAGGTGCGAACCTTAGCTCAAGGTCTGCACAAACCTGTTGCCATCTTGCAGCCAGTATGGTAGCAAAGAAGCATTGCGCCCCACCTCTGAGGCGTACCGCTAGATATTGTGCCTTCTGTGGGTCGTTCCACCCGTTCACCTGCGCGCATTGTTCGAAGTACTGGACGTACTCTAGCCAGTCTCCAGAACCATCGTAAGGCTCGGGCATTACCGCAGGCCTCACGAATGCTTGGGCAACCGGTGCTGCCCCAGCACCAGCAACCGCTCCAGCAGATGCAGCCATCGCTGCACCAAGGCCACCCACCGCCGCAGCACCACCGAGCTGGCCGCTAAAGGTTGGTGAACATTCGCAGCAGGCGAATTCACACCTCCGCCTTGTTGTTGCTGTTGTTGAGCCATCTTCAGCACAGCCAAAAAGAACTTGGTTGTCTCATTCTTTCCAGCCATCCTGGTCACAGCACCACTTGTCAAATCCGGGGGAGTGTTCCGGATAGTCTCGCCTTTGGCTGTGTCAGCTCTAACCCTCGGAACGTTTCGTGACAAGTACATGTAGAGTCACGGCTGGCAGAACGCAACTTCACCCAGTCCTAACCCGACACACACTGCACCAACTGGTCTCGCCCGAGTAGAGAATGTTCACTTGTCAGGAGAAGAGCACCTCTTCTAGGAATAGTGAACTTGGTTGTCTCATTCTTTCCACTCATCCTGGTCACAGCACCACTTGTCATACCTTGGGGAGTGTTCCGGTTCGTCTCGCCCTTGGCTGTGTCGTCTCTAATCCTCGGAACGCTTTGTGACAAGTATAGTCACGGCTGGCAGAACGCAACTTCACCCAGTTCTAACCCGACACACACTGCACCAACTGGTCTCGCCCGAGTAGAGAATGTTCACTCGTCAGGAGAAGAGCACCTCTTCTAGGAATAGTGAACTTGATTGTCTCATTCTTTCCAGCCATCCTGGTCACAGCACCACTTGTCGAACCCGGGGGAGTGTTCCGGGTAGTCTCGCCTTTGGCTGTATCGTCTCTAATCCTCGGAACGCTTTGTGACAAGTATAGTCACGGCCGGCAGAACGCAACTTCACCCAGTCCTAACCCGACACACACTGCACCAACTGGTCTCGCCCGAGTAGAGAATGTTCACTTGTCAGGAGAAGAGCACCTCTTCTAGGGATGGTGAACTTGGTTGTCTCATTCTTTCCACTCATCCTGGTCACAGCACCACTTGTCATATCTTGGGGAGTGTTCCGGTTAGTCTCGCCCTTGGCTGTGTCGTCTCTAATCCTCGGAACGCTTTGTGACAAGTATAGTCACGGCTGGCAGAACGCAACTTCACCCAGTCCTAACTCGACACACACTGCACCAACTGGTCTCGCCCGAGTAGAGAATGTTCACTTGTCAGGAGAAGAGCACCTCTTCTAGGAATAGTGAACTTGATTGTCTCATTCTTTCCAGCCATCCTGGTCACAGCACCACTTGTCGAACCCGGGGGAGTGTTCCTGGTAGTCTCGCCTTTGGCTGTATCGTCTCTAATCCTCGGAACGCTTTGTGACAAGTATAGTCACGGCTGGCAGAACGCAACTTCACCCAGTCCTAACCCGACACACACTGCACCAACTGGTCTCGCCCGAGTAGAGAATGTTCACTTGTCAGGAGAAGAGCACCTCTTCTAGGAATGGTGAACTTGGTTGTGGTGAACTTGGTTGTCTCATTCCTCCACTCATCCTGGTCACAGCACCACTTGTCATACCCTGGGGAGTGTTCCGGCTAGTCTCGCCCTTGGCTGTGTCGTCTCTAATCCTCGGAACGCTTTGTGACAAGTAGAGTCACGGCTGGCGGAACGCAACTTCACCCAGTCTTAACCCGACACACACTGCACCAACTGGTCTCGCCCGAGTAGAGAATGTTCACTTGTCAGGAGAAGAGCACCTCTTCTAGGAATAGTGAACTTAATTGTCTCATTCTTTCCAGCCATCCTGGTCACAGCACCACTTGTCGAACCCGGGGGAGTGTTCCGGTTGGTCTCGCCCTTTGGCTGTATCGTCTCTAACCCTCGGAACGCTTTGTGACAAGTATAGTCACGGCTGGCAGAACACAACTTCACCCAGTCCTAACCCGACACATACTGAACCAACTGGTCTCGTCCGAGTAGAGAATGTTCACTCGTCAGGAGAAGAGCATCTCGTCTAGGAATGGTGAACTTGGTTGTCTCATTCTTTCCAGCCATCCCGGTCACAGCACCACTTGTCAAACCCGGGGGAGTGTTCCGGTTAGTCTCACCCTTGGCTGTGTCGTCTCTAATCCTCGGAACGCTTTGTGACAAGTATAGTCACGGCTGGCAGAACACAACTTCACCCAGTCCTAACCCAACACCTACTGAACCAACTGGTCTTGTCAGAGCAGAGAATGTTCACTTGTGAGGAGAAGAGCACCAACAGAATCTCCCTTCCAGAAGCAGCAGCATGATATGATAATTATAATACATTGTAGAAACAGCGAGCAGTGGTAGTAGCGATAGATTTGCGGAACATGCAGCTAAACTGCGACTTTGTCTGCTGCGCGGAACGGCGATCGGCCACATGTACACACACGCACACGCTCGCGCACACACACACGCCTGCGTGATCTAGAAACGGCTGTCATCATGATAAGATACGCAATGTGTGAAAGAGCACAGGGCAAGCCCAGACCCGGAGTCTAGACCGCAATACAATTAAACGCATTCCAAGTCAATGGTCTATCATGTGCAACCACGCACATCCATACCTAGCGTAATACTATTGTAATCTTTTTTTTTTACTCCATCTTTTCATTCTTCAGCTACTGCTTGGCTTCATCTCTGGTGGGGGTGCAATGTAGTGACTTGCGTACATCCTTTTTCATGTACCCTAAATATTATATGAAAACGGATGTACGCAAGTCACTACATTACACCCCCACCAGAGATGAAGCTGAGCAGTAGCTGAAGAACGAAAATATATTGGAGAAGAACAGAAAGAGTGAGCAAAGCGTACAAAGCGGAAGGACGGGAAAGAAAAATACACTGCACAAAGAGAAAAATATACGCTGCATGTGGAATACCGTTGTGTACGACACGTGGGACACAAGGTCTGAAACAAGGTAGAAAAATGCAGGAAACAGAAAGAGGAAAAATGCGTGGTAGAGGTGGAAGAGCGTGTCAGAGGCAGTCTAGATATTTGAAGTAAGACAAGGGAAACGTATGCGTGACAGAGGAGGACGGATCTTGATCTTGTCAAAGGCGGCTGTGGGTTGGGAGGTACTAGATTGGCGGATGGTGGGCCGGTGAGGTTGTGGGCTTGGACTTGGGCGCCTGCTCAATGTGGGTTGCGGAGGTCGAAGGCGCTGTGAGCCTGCTCCATGCCATCCGTAAAGACGTAAACTCCGCCTCATTGTAGTGTCAGGGGTCACCAATTATGGTGTTTTACATCGACCATGACGGCTACAATGGCCAATCAGACCACAATGAAGTGTGTGTGTGGGGGGGGGGGCAAAGAGAGAAAGTGTATTTCTTTCCATCAAAATTATATACAACGGCCTTTTTTAACGAAAAATGATTATGTACACAAAATAATTATGAAAGCGGATGCACTCAAGTCACTACACACGTACAAGTCATACGTGCATGTGATTTGCGCCGGCCAGCATAGCAAAATAATCGTATTCATTTCGGCCATTTTTCGGGGGGAGGGGGAGGTTGAGTACGAAATGAACGACGTTCGTTTCAGGGACGACATCTAATCTTCCTAGACAACCCTCTAAAAGTCTAAATGTCCTCATTACTCTGGTGCTGGTGTTCGGTGTTCATTACCAGCAGACTAATGGCAATGATGCTTGCACTAATGTATGTATAATATAATGGAGGTTGAGGCTGAGGATTTGTGGTTAGTAAAGACCTGAATACGCACCGCCGAAACGAACCAGAATTGCACTAAATAAAACCGTGTGAGTTGTGGTCGCTTTTTTGTGTGGGGTCATCAAGATGGTTTAGTGTGTAAAGCGGCTTCAATGTCATTAGAGAGGTTAAGATTTCCGACGTGACGCGCAATTTCATGTCAAATTTGGCGTAAAACTCCAAATTTCGGCGTGAGGTGCAGGTCACTCGCGTTGTTTTTCGATGCGCGAGCCAAATAACGCGAGTTGAACTTTCCCGTCACGTCGGAAATAACATGCATCTTAACCTCTCTAATGCCTGGCCTCACATGGAGTATTGGTGTGTTTGTTCTGTAGCTTATCGCTGATCATGGCATGCCATCAATATCCTTTGCTACTGGCGGTGAAGGGGTAAGTTGTCAACGTCTAGTATTCATACCATTGGATCCTTGAGGTTGCCATAAAACCTGTCAGCGTGCTAATCTCTCCCCCCCCCCCCCCCCTCCCCGCCCCCTCATCGTTTCTCAAATGCCAATGCCTTCTCCGCCGACCATGGTGTCCATGTTGCGAGTGCTGGGAGGAACGTCATTGATTATATAATTATGTATGTGCATTATCTCAGCAATATTGAGGTGATACATGTGGTGGAGATAATGTACTGGTGTTTGCTTCTCTGGCATGTCTGCAGGAGGGCATTGATTTCATCGGCTATGTGGCAAAGGACCAAGTCAATGACAGAGGTACGTTTGAGATGAAATCATGCGTTTTAATGCCTTTAAAAGCTAATGCCCACGTGGCAGCAAGTGGCCAATGGTCCTACAGTGTCACCTTACCATCATTCTGTCTCCAGTCTTTCTAGATGCAGGGGTTGAGTTGGACTGACCAACATGGCCAACATCATGTGACCTATAGATGCAGGGGTTGAGTTGAGTTGGACTGACCAACATGGCCAACATCATGTGACCTATAGATGCAGGGGTTGAGTTGAGTTGGACTGACCAACATGGCCAACATCATGTGACCTATAGATGCAGGGGTTGAGTTGAGTTGGACTGACCAACATGGCCAACATCATGTGACCTATAGATGCAGGGGTTGAGTTGAGTTGGACTGACCAACATGGCCAACATCATGTGACCTATAGATGCAGGGGTTGAGTTGAGTTGGACTGACCAACATATCTGCCCTGCATTGTTATGTGATAGATGTGAAATCATGCTATAGACCACAGCATCTAGGACTTGGCATATGACAGTGCCGGACTCCACAGCTAAGCTACTCACTGAAAACTGTTTACAGCTAAACCCACCACCTTTCTATGCATCCGGTATGCTGGCACTGGCTAGGTCCATGATATACTACAAGTGCTCTACAGCAGACATAGTGGTGTGGCAAGCGTGGCCATGCTTGACTGCATATGCTTGAATTGCCGGACTAACACTCTAGTCTGTACTGTGACCTTCTGCCTGACTGCATGCAGCGTGTCATTGCTTCGACTGTGGCGATCTTGCTTACGACATTATCACCACTGTCGGGCAAGCGTTCGAACTTCGTTACAAGACCTACTTGACGACCAAGGCCGTGCCTCTTGAGATACCAGGGTTAGTCGGTGTGAGATGACTGGACACCATCCTGGCATATATGTGTGTGTGCGATACACACCTACAGTATGTTGTTGTTGCGTTTTTTGCACCTTTCTCTCCGGGTACTCATGAGTCGTGGTGATGCATTACAGGGTGATGGACAGGACTGGTAACAATGGCAGCCCGCCCATAGGTGATATTGAGGAGTATTGCATATCAGTCCATGAGTTGATAGAAATAAGTAATGTGTCAATTACCCATCAATGAAAGCCCACTGATAAAGGTAACTTGAAAACGTCCGCTATTGTCTTATTGGTGTGTAAATTGAATCCGAAACTTTTGCGATATACTGTGTCATGAGTGCTGCGATCAAGCGACGTGTTATCACACAATGTCTGTCTCCACGTCGTCGACTTTTCCATTGGTCGATGTGCAGGTTTGGTGAGGGTCGTGGTAGCGGAATGGGATTTGATGACGAATCATCCACGGCCACCGCGCAGTCAAACATTCCACCGCCACCGAGGAGAGGTGCTTTGCCCAGTGTACCCACTGCAACGCCCTCGGAAAAGGTAAAGAGCGGATTTCCAGTCAGTTTGCAACGCGTAGAAGGTCATGATTATCTAGCCCCTCCTTAGCCACACCTAGGCATACCTAACCTTGCCATGCTGCATAGCCTTGCCCCGTCATTGTGAGCCTTAGCTTGCCTCGGGGGGTATTGGAACTGATCCGGTTGGTCAGGCCATGGTCGGTCCAACTCTTTGGCCACCAACGGGTATTAATTAACTGCTGAGAGGTCATCTGTACTGGCCGTATCGTACACGAACAGCTCTGGTATGGCCAGACCAATCAAAAACTGCTTCCTCCGCCGGTCCTGTGTCTTACCACCAGTATGACAAGGCTAACATGTCCCGGCTGCCACGTCATACCTACATCAGCATGCCCCGTCATGACATACCACTTTGCATACCCTGCTTCATTGAACTGCCCATTACCACTTACACTGAAAGAACCCTGATGCGACCAGCTTTCGCTTTAAAGGGCGTATAATCATGACTCTATTTGGAAAATCACTGCGTATATACCATGTTCACCGTAACTAAAGTAAGGATAAGAAAAACCTCTGCTGATGATGGTGAATGGATTCTATCGGACCCTTGGTGTTCATCCTAAAGATGAACACTGCACTTACAAGGAATTACTACATGTACATGCCAGTCTAGGCAAGGTGTAGTTCCGTTATACCAAGTCTCCTGCGACCGGGGCCGTGTGCGTACTTGTATGCGTATGTGTGGGCGTGCGTGTGTGCGTGCGTGTGTGTGCAATTCTTTTTTACTGTTTCCACGTTCGCTTCAAAGACCAGCTATGACAAACATAGTCTTCGCGTGTGTGTTGTTATTGCTTTGTAATGATTCAATGGTTGGTGGTAGTGTGTGAAGTAAGGCAGCCATGGCTCAGGTCTTAGTGGTCCTATGTGGTATGCATTGCAGTGGTCAAGTTCCAATGGCAAGATGCCATGAACGCTTCCACCTGTAGAACATTTTTTTTTTGTATACTGCTCTGGTTAGCTGCAGGACTCGAATGGCATGTACGATACGCTGAAAGAAAAGTCAAAGAAAAGGGTGAGCAGATCCACATACTGTAAACCAGCCATTATTCTAACGAGGCGCATATATAACGATTTCCCAAAATTGACTAGTTAACGTGTACCAAAGGTAACGATTCTCACTCATTCTCAACGCTCAATAGGACAGTATATGTATCGATTTCTGTATAACGATTTCTATTTTAACGACCGATTTCTCCTCGTTAACTCGTTAGAGTTAGCACTTCGTTATATACATAGCTTTTACAGTACTTGTGAACTGGCCACACACGTGCACACATGCATACAAGTATGCATGCGCATACACACACACACACACACACACACACACACACACACACACACACACACACACACACACACACGCACGCACGCACACACGCACGCACACACGCACACACACACGCACACACACACACACACACACACACACACACACACACACACATATACACACGCACATACACACGTGCAGACAAGCCCGTGCGGATGTGTGCGTTCATTGGTCGGCTACACTTTGAAAGCCGACAAACTTGGATTTGCGCGCAAACATGTGCTTTCTGTGTGTGTGTTCACCCCTTACAGCGTGCTGATAACTATTATGACTTGGAGGGACCAGCGGCGGCAGGAGGTGCAGCGGCAGCAGCGGCAGCAGCTGCTGCTGCACCTGCAACGGTTGCTATGGCCACACATGAAGCCGTCCCGTTGAAGAAACTGGAAGAGGACCCTGGGTAGGTGTTCTTGTTTTAAAATTTAGCTGCTGCTGTGTGTGTGCATGTGCTGGTGGCATGTTTATCTGCACACTTGCTTGCATAATGGATTGTGCATGGTATCACCGTGTAGAATAGGACACATGTGACTCGTTTTGGTTCCTGCATGTAAGAACCAGAAGTCACATTCTGCTCAGTAGTGGAACCGCTTATGGACGCTATGCATGCAGCGTGAGTCGCTAGTGCAATGTACAAGACCCGTAGAACACTGTGGCATAGCTGATCCACCTTTGTGGAGGGGGGGGGGGCATGGTTGAAATAGTTTGAGCAGTAGGTTAGAGTTAAAATTGCAGTGTACAGCTATACAGTTATACCACTACAGCTACTTCAAGTAACTTCAAGTGGACGTTGTACACTGGCGCTCGATTTTGGCTTCACAGCAGGCACTGAAGTGAGATCCCTAGGCCATTTGGTGCAAACATGTCATGCTTCAAGAAGATAGAACAATTTTAGGGGATTCCCCCCCCCCCCCCCCCCCGGGCCTCTCCTCATACCTCTCACAGACTACGTACCTGAGACCATCATTGTTTACAGCAACTCATTGATGCTCACCTGTTGAAGCAGGCGAAAAGATCACCCGGCAGCTAAGTGCTATAGTACAATTGGATTGTGACTGTGGTTGTTGCTTACAGCTACTCCAGTGTAAAGGAGAATGGACCCGGTGGTCGACGGACAGGCGCAGCTGGCTCCGAGCGACATTCGTCCTACGACAATCCCAACATCTTCCATGAGCAGGACAATGTAAGTTGTGCCATGCACGTGCAGTCGACTCTCGATAAGTTGTGCACTCGATCCTGGAGACCAAAATGGTTGACTTATCGCGAGTGTTTGACTTACATGCACGTACGACAGCACACCTAATGCTGTAGACAGTCCAGCATATATGTATACAGAGCTTACTGACTTGTCAGTTTGAGCACTCTGGCAAGGTGCGTTCGCCGGGCCTGGTTTTAGATCTGGAATTTTTCATACTTCGAAGTATTTCTTCTTTTCTTTGCAATCAGGCTCGGCCTCATTTTCTCTGTGCTGCGCTGACAAGTCCACAAAGGACGAAACAGTTCTGTCCACAAATTAAGTGTACAAAAGTATACTGCGGATTGCAAATGGGCCAGACTTATCGTGGGTGCGTGATTTAAAAAAAAAGAAGAAGTGTGTCACTTGTTGCGAGTAGACTGAACATGAGCATGTGTATGGGAGGGATATGGTACATGGTGAGCGTGTCACTGTAAACCACCGTAACCTTGATACCGCACGACCGTGGCAAAATATGATTGTGCAGTGACGTGTGCGGCAGTGATGTCACCTCATAGCTTGAAATCTTGGTTGCCTGTACCGTATACTGGTATGCCGAAAACGAGATGTGACTAGCTGTCGGTGGGCTGGGGTTATTTGCATTGGTCCGCTGTACCACCGCTCACAGGAGCTGGCCGCAGGCCTTCAGAAACACAGATGCAGACGCGAGCGTGAACACTGTACCAGCCATGACTAAGACGTACAGATCACCAGCATCACCTCTTTCCTTACAAGTCATGTTGTGTTATTCTGCTGCTGCTGCTGCTGATGGTGATGATCATTCAGGAAACCGTCACGTATGACAACCCGGAAAGCCGAGAGAGGAAAGGTAACGGTGGAGCCGGTGTCAACTTGGCCCATGGCGGTGCCGCAAGACAGCCGTCGAATAACCCGTCGTTCGACGACTCCATATATGACAACAGCACGGGCGACGAGATGGCAGCGGCGCCAGCCCAGAACGGCCATCACCACCGTGCGTATCCACCAGCTTCTCAGCAACAACACCAGCAGCACCACCAGCAACAGCAGTATCCGGGCAATGCAGCAGCTCACAACAAGCGTACGTACATTGTATGATTGTTTGTTTGATTTCAATTCTAATATGTTCACTAGATATGCAGGCTGCGGCATTTCTGCGGTCTCGCCTCACCGTGTGGCTAGACTCTCAGTAAAAGATCAGGTGTCATGCAAGCATGCACTACAGAAAATATGAGTGTTGTGTGGTACATGTCTTTCACCCTACTTTGCCTTTGTGTATCATGAGCTTTGTGTTGCACCCTCGCATGTAAAAAGGAAAAGAAAAGAGTATGTGAATCGTGTTCATAGGTGAGATACTGACCATAGTCTGGGTAACAGCGTCACGACAATTGTTGACAACCCAAGCCAACTTCTCTGCATGTGTTCTGATCTCATTCCGTCTGCAGCAGCAGTGGCAGCATTGCACAACAAGATGCCTCCAGCAGTCCACAGTGCCAGCCATCCAAACCATCCTTCCATGCCACTGCCACCCATCCCCGGTTCTGGTCCTGCTGCTGCTGCTGTCGCTGGATCTAATGGTGGCCATGGCTCCTCACATGGCGGTCACCCGTACCCGCCACAGCAGAACAATGGCCATATCGGTGGACCTCCAGTGCCAGCCCAGGACATAAACCATGACCTGATGGCCCACGACTGGTTCCACGGCATCTTGTCCCGAGAAGAGGCCGAGAACATTCTCGAGGAGGACGGCGAATTCCTGGTGCGAGAGAGCTCAACGCAGCCTGGGCAGTATGTTCTGAGCGGCATGGAGAACGCTCGGGTCAAGCACCTGCTGCTGGTAGATCCGGAGGGCGTGGTAAGTTGTTTTCGTGCACTTGCTGCCTTTCAGTTGGACGTGATCTTTGCTGATTGCGATCTTGTTGTATGCTTGGGACGTGTATGCCATGGCAGTCTCCTATTCAGCTTCACTCTCTTGGGGGAATACTAAATTTGACACTTTATGGCGATGTAAGTTACATGTCACTGAGGATGCGAATGGACGAACCCGAATTATGTGGCTCGAAACGTAAAACGTGATGTTTTTCTTCTCTCCTTTTGTGGCTGCTGTTGCAGGTGCGCACGCGCGACCGAGTGTTTGCCAGTGTGCCCGAGTTGATCCACTACCACATAGAGCATAGCCTGCCCATCGTGTCTGCTGGCAGTTCACTAACACTGGGCACCGCCGTGGTGATTGACATGTCGCAGGAATGATTGTGCCGGTTGACGATGCCCAGTGACTTCCCTACTCCCGTTATTTGCAGCCACAGTGTGGTCACTGGCAACATGACTGCTTTTCTGAAGCTCGATACACATCCCTGATCAGTTTATATACATAGAGCCATTGCTTTTCACTTGAGATCTTCGCGATGTTGTACGAGATATTGCTATTTTTCGTGATGAGTTTTCATTTCTTTCTGATGAGCTTCTAAATTTCTATATGTGCGGGGCCTGTGCTTTGCCCGCTAGTACTAGCAGCAGTACTCCAGCACCGGCATGCCTGCCAATCTCAGCAGGCATGTGTGGATAGTCGTCTTGGTATTGTAGTGGGTGACTAGAAGGAACTGTGTGCGTGCTCACTGCTGACACGCGGCATGTTGATACCGGCCATGCCGAGGCGGATACACCTGCTCAAGCCGCTTTGATATTACTTCCCGCTCCAGTCCATGTCCGCTGTCCGCTAGTACTGGGCAAGGAAGCATGCTAACGTAACCATTCCAACGTTGAGTGATCGCTCCGTGCCCGTGCAGCAGTGCACTGTGGTGGAGGTAGTGCTTTTCTAGCTCTTCCAGCCCCTGGCATGGCTTGACCGTCTGGTTGACATATATGCCGTACTCGAGCCCGGTCACATGCCGCGTGACGACGGCATGTCGTGGCCATCTGGAACACTATCCGCTGTGCAATGCTACACTCTGCCGTGGATCTGTGCATTATTTGAGAGGACCTGGAGCTTCCCGCGCGGTCTCTGTTTGTACGTAACCAGCTTATTATTTGTTTACTTGTCTATACTAAAAATGCTGAGTATTTAGCTGTGAGTTGATTTATACACAAGGCACTGGGTGAGCGCTGGGTGTGTGCTCGCAGTGTTGCATGCCGAACTTGGCACTTTCCTGTGAGCTGGTCACACCATTTCGCACACACACGTCCTAGTTTGCCGGCTTGTACGCACAGTAAGGAGAGGTTCGCCATCATCACTGGCATTATTCCATAGCTTATTCTATTTTGCTCTTGACTTATTTCTGTTCCGATTCCGAAACACTTTCCTGGCTAGGGGCGTGATGTGCGTGGTGTGAACTTCTGTTCGGTATCACCATAAGCAGCGGGTGTCTGATTGACTATGGCTATGACCTGATACATTGATAATGTTTCCGATACAGCTTCACACTGTCAGCTATCAAGTGCCACTGTCCAGTGTAGTACATTGTGTTATTGTCCTGTTGTCGACATTGAAATCCACTGGGAAGTCCTGCAAGCGACCATGAGGCGCTGGCCCTGCAACCATGAGCACTGCTGGTCCATGTATGCAGTGACTGAGTGTGTGCGTGAACGCGCTACGGCAGTAAGAGTGCCGGCCCCGGTCACTAAACTGGATTTCAATGTTCACACCGGTGCTTCGGCATGCAGTGCTCAATGAGCTCTAATCGATAGCAATAGCCAGGCACAGTGCTAGCTGCCCCTGACCTCTGCGAGCACCGGCCCGTGCATGAACTGGCGCAGATCGGTATGTTATTGAGGAGTTGTGTGATTGAACACGACTTCATTATCTCCCAATCACACGAGGCCAACGATTTCATTACACTGTACTATTACAACTCGTGTCAACACCCCCCCCCCCCCCCCCCCCTCCTCCACCACACACCCACCCACGCACAAACGAGCGTACGAACCCGAACCAGGCTACCACAATAGGCAATAGTTTGTCATCACGTGCACTTTGAAGTACTAGTATAATATAAGCCCAAAGATCGTCATAAAATATGCCGTACAGTCAAAGGTCACTAGCCACATACAGGCTACACAAAAACTCACAAGAACCCTGTCAAGCAAGAAAAGAGAAGGAACCTTGTTCTTCAGGAAGGATTGTCATCGAACATGCTACGGAGACCATTCACATACATGTAGATGGTGATGCATACACTTGAACGCAAGTAAAACGGGCAAACAGGTCAAAAAAATACCATGTGTGTACAATAAAGAGTTGAAATGAAAGTAGAAACATGCAGTAACTCACAGAGTCTCATTGCACAAAAGTGCCAGAACGAATCACATTCAATCCAGCGGCGTCGCCTAGGCGACGACTGAGGAGGTGGCCATGCGATTGAGACCGCAGACACCTGCGCCGCGATAGACCAGATAGTAGCCCTCCTCTCCCCAGGTAGCGCCCCAGCTGTTCTTGACGATCCAGTAGGGCTCGCCATCTTTCACTCCGTATCCGACCAGCAGCACGCCGTGATCAAGATGGTCAGGGTTGCAGAAGAGCTTCCACGGGTGAGAGATGCCGCCGAAATAGAACTGCATTGGGCCGGCGTTGATGCCAATGGAGATAGGACCGTTAGCGGCAAGCCAGGCTGCCAGCTGCTCCTCGTCCTGTGGCAGGGCAATCGATCCATTGATGTTCACCGCTTCTGTGGAGGGGTTGAAATGGCACGAGCCATCTCGGCCCGTGTATGGGTATTGCTGTTCGGTGGTCAGACCGCCGAGCTTCATGATCTGCTTGTAGGCGTCGGACGGCAGGCCACCCTTGCAGCCGTGATCCACCTTGTCACAATCGACCAGCTCTTGCTCGGACAGGGAGACGAGCTTTCCTTTCTTGATGGCCCACTGGCCTTCAATGTTGCCGGTTGTGGAGAAAGCCCAGCATGAGCCACAGCCGCCCTGGTTCTTCACTGCCGTCACTGCGTTGTGCTCACGCCAGTCAAAGCTTGTCGGCGTATCCTTAACGTCCATCAGAGGTGCTTTCCTCATAGTCGTCGAGGGCTTCATTGGAGTAGACTGGGCATAGCGGGCCAGAAACTCTTGCTCGGTGAGGTCAGCAAACTGCGTTACTCCATACTTGGCTGATCCCTTTTCGTTCTGCTGCAGCTTCTTGATGCGTCCCATATTGGCCTGGAAGATATCAGCTCTCCTGCTGATCTCCGCAGCATTATTACAATAGTCTGGTTTGTAGGATTTCAAGAAAGACTGGAAGTCGGGAGAGGCCGCGCTGATGGCCGAACCAATAGACAGTTTGCTGCTCGTGGCGTCCACGGAGTTGGCACTGGTCACAGGAACGCTCTTCGTGGAGAGCAGCTGCATTTCTGGCTGCTTCCATGGCTGAGAGAGAACTTCTACTTCGTATCGGAGAGGATTCGACGAGTCCGCAGCACATGAGCACATGGAGTGAAGTTCGCCATCGTTTCTGCATTCAGTAGATCGGAGTGTCTCCACGACCAAAGAATACTTTACGCCAGCAACCACTTGGCTAGACGCTTCAACGACCACCGAAAGAAGTTGAGCGAACATACTATTCTCCCTGGCATTGATTTGCTGGACAGCAAAAGCTGCTGCATCCACAACACTTTTGTCGGAGGGATCGGCTGAGCTTACTCCACCAAGGAGTTGAGCATACGCTGAAGTTGCCAGCGCCAGAGCGCAAAGGCACAATGAAATAGCTCTCATTTTGAGACGGGGTCTCGATCAGATTACTCTCAACTCCAGTAAACAAACAAGACCAAAAGCTGATGTGTTGAGTGCAAGATCGAAGAAGACATGTGAAAGATGGCAAATGCCACACGCAGAAATCTGTATGCGCGCGTGCATTGGTTGATACGATACCGTACCGCGTAGGCGTAGGCTAGGCTACACTACGTCAACCGTAGATCGTACTGAAAAAAAGTCCAAGCTTGCTGGAGTGTTGAACATGATTGACTCGTGCCCAGTGATGCATGCACGCGTCGCACACTGTAGATCATAGGGAGTCGTAAAATACCATAATATTATTGGTATTTTACGACTCCCTGGTAGATCACTGTACTACATGTAGTAACTCACATCCTTAGAATGACGTCACATTGATCACGTGGTCAACATCGTGACGTGACATGCACTGAGCACAACGTAGACTACACTCTGTATCCATGGTATCAGTCTGTACACTATGCATGCACACCGTGCACGTGACACAGCTCTGCTGACTCAGTGGACAGTGCTGAGTGCAGTGCTGATCTGTTTCGACCAGGGAGTCGTAAAAGGGCTTTTACAGTTTTAGTAAGTTTTACGACTCCCTGGTTTCGACTTTTGAAAAAAGTTTTTGTTTGGACAGATAAAAAATAAAAGCAAAAACTACAGCAAAAAGCATGGCTTTGGTCGTTGGATAGTAATCTGGTAATGAAGCTCTCGACCTGTCTCTCTAGCTCTGCTGTCCTAGTTGTGAGGAGTCTCACCAGGGTTTTCATAGTTTTGTCATAGTTGTGAACGACCATCATGATCATCTACCGGTATGCCAGGTACGGGTACAGTACTCCGATCTGCTTGTAAAATCATGGTAGTACTAGTAGTAGGCCATAAAATAATTCTAATAATGTTGTGTCCAGTAGACCAAGCTGCAAAGCCTTCGCTGAACTAACTTTGTTCCATGTACAACGCTCTCATGGAGCAGGATTTTCGATTCTATTCGACTGGATATTCCAGGCAGGCAAGGCTCAGCGGCTGCATGCACACTGAGCACGAGCTAGCTGCTGTTCGAAAGCTTTTCTGCACCGTGCTATGTCGAGACCAGGGAGTCGTATGTACGTCCCTGGGCCTGGTCGAGACGAAACAACGCGACTTTGCTCAGCTCAGATCAGGACGATTCGTGCATGGTGGTCGCGAAATGGGTTGTTAGCGTGCGGTACGAGTATATAACGCCTATGTTAGCGTCAAAGTAATAGTTATCGACTTGCACGTTGCATGGTCAAGATCTTGGCATGGCAGCAACATGGCAATCTTTGCAACTGTTTATTTTGAACGAAGACGTTTCCATTCAGGAGTTCCCATTCTGTATTTTCAGCTTTCAGTGTCCTTTCGTGACTGATCACGATGGCGGACGAGAGTGTTTCATTGTCTGGCAGTGAGGCGGATGAAGTCCTTGTGACTGAAACGCAGTCACCGGGCAAGCACAGTCGTCTCCACGAGAGGGAGCAGCTCCAGGAGCTAAATGGACGTTTAGCACTGTTCATGGATCGCATTCAATGCGTTCGCGATCAGAATGATGACTTGAGAGGAGATCTGGAGCGTGGCAAGGAAACACATCGGCGTGAAATGGAAACTCATCGATCTCTCTTTGAGCGAGAGCTGAGTGAAGCTCGCAAATTGCTGGATGAAACTGCCAGGGAGAAAGCTAGATTTGAGTTAGCTGCATCAAGAAACAGCAGCTTGGCATCAGACGCCAAGACGAGGTGAGACGATTTGCAATTATATTACTCTACGGGTAAAACGAGTATTGCATACCTGTACTACATGTTCTATTCCAGTTGTAACTTCTTGACCAGAAAATATTCATTCATTATTTATTTAATATTTTATTTAATATAACTCGGATGGTGAGCCAATTAAATAATTGTGAAAAGAAGAAGGACAGAATGTCAGGTCGCCGAATGTCTCAGTACTCCTTGTCAGTTGTGTGGCATTTTGTCGCACTCGCTGACTGTATAAGATCTGGTTACGTTGGTGGACAGTTAGTCATAACTCGTAACATTTTGTCCTTCTTCTTTTCACAATTATTTAATATACTTCGAGAAAAATAGATCCTCTTTACTTTAGTCTTACCACCATCATCAGGACTTGAGTCAACGACTCGCAAAGAAATTTTCAAAAACGAGTTTTCGAGCATTCTCATCAAGTGAAATATAAGCAGCTCGAACCAATGAAACGCATGGATAAATAGCATCACAAGGGTGGTAACCATTAAAGGGGAAGCTAAGGCAAAAATTAAAATTTCACCAGTTATAGTCTTCGGGGTGCTGAGTCGAATGGTCTTGGTCCGAGAAAGCTGAGACGCTCCCTTCCTACTTGAATCCCAATCGAACTCGCGCACTTCCACCGAAACTGGGTGACTGCGCCCTACGAGATGGGGATTTGTATGCAAAATGTCACTAAAAGCGCCATTTCGTTCTTATAAAAGCACGGATGACCGCGATTGGCCCATATGTTGTAGTCTTTTGGACGCTGAGTCGACTGGTTTCGGTCCGAAAAGGCTGCGATGCAGCGTTCGCCCCTAATTCCCAATCGAACATGGTTGAACAAGCGGTCACGTGCTCCTGCGTACACCAGTCAGCTGGTCACCGTGCCTGCAGGGTACAACTTACAGCCTGTTTTGACCTTTTTTGGGTGCAGTCCTGTCACTCGAGTTGAACCTTGGTGTGAAAGTTGTCGCCTGCTGGCGTGGTGACCAGGTGATTTTGGCACCCAGGAGCACGTGACCGCTTCTTCAACCATGTTCGATTGGGAATAAAGGAGGAACGCTGCATCGCAGCCTTTTCGGACCAAAACCAGTCGACTCATCGTCCAAAAGACTACAACATATGGGCCAATCGCGGTCATCCGTGCTTTTATAAGAACGAAATGGCGCTTTTAGTGACATTTTGCATACAAATCCCCATCTCGTAGGGCGCAGTCGCCCAGTTTCGGTGGAAGTGCACGAGTTCGATTGGGATTCAAGTAGGAAGGGAGCGTCTCAGCTTTCTCGGACCAAGACCATTCGACTCAGCACCCCGAAGACTACAACTGGTGAAATTTTGATTTTTGCCTTAACTTCCCCTTTAAAACTAAGGGGCCATTCGTAAATACTGATATTTATTTAGAAACGAAAACTAGCCATTTCTCTTCAACTCTCCACCCTGAGAAACGAACACATACAAACGGCACATAGTATTGGTATATTTTGTCTTTTTTCCGGACTTGCCCGCACATGCAAACTGTGCATCGATGTTTTTCTAGAAACGAACAGGTGCTCAACCCCCTCCCCCCCCCCCCCCCCCCCCTAAACCACTAGTTTTCGCTTCTAACGAGAGAGCTTGGAAGCTCAGGGCCCTACGCTATGCTTTTTTTGCCTAGCTCATGCATGTTATTAGAGACTAATGGAAATGTTTTCTTTCCATTGATTGGCTATAGCAGAACTGCCACTTGCTCCGATTTTTCGGAAATCGCCCGATTTCCCGATTTTGTTCCCAAAGGGGGACAACCGATTATTTTATTTAGAGCTCTTTTTATATATAGTCCAGTTGGCCATTCATCGCTTCCAGGTCGCGTTTGGCCGGTCATTGTGCATGCACATGTACACGTAGCAGTAAAATGCACGCGTGCTTGCATGTGTATGGACAGTTAAAATGTGTTCTGGGGCCCCAACAGCAAGCCATTTTCCTAAAATATTTCAACGGGGGACACCCCGGACCCCGTCAGATTTTTCTCCCTCCAAGTGTGGCAGCCCTGCTATAGTGTTTTACGTCGACCATGACAGCTACAATGCCCAACCATACCACAACGAACTGATCGGCTACATCATTGTATTGCAAAAAGTTTCCATCTGTTCGAATAACATGCATGATGAGCTAGGCAAAAAAGCATAGCATAGGGCCCCGAGCGAAAGAAATGAACTTTCTCTTTGCTTTCGAGGGTAATACGACACCATCTACCACCTTGATGACCTAGGCAAAAAAGCATAGGGATGTTATAATTTTTTCATTTCTCCTACTTTTTCAAGACGTAACCTAGGGTTCAAACCCGCACTATCGCCCTGCATGCATTCCCCCGATACACTTCGCATACATACTCATTCTTCCAAGTTGCTTCACGTTATGATTTTGCATTTGAAAGCCCGAATAATAATTGTGGCCAGCTGTCTTTGATGATACGGTACGGGATAGTGCCAGGCATGCCGACGGCATAAACACACACGGAATTAAAGCTGTGTGGACCCTGGCTAGCGCCAGACGTTACTGAAGTAACGTCTTTTGCATAGCTACGGGAATTAAATATTTATATTTACGGATGGCCCCTAATAAAATGATAAATTTAGCGAAGAAGTAGTATGCCTACATTTATAAGAGGAGAGAAGCAAAAGGAAAGAAAGAAAGAGGAGGTGAGAAGTGAGACAAGATGGGCTAAAATACACGGTGCAAGGATCAACACCCTACGGGACGCTGCATTCACTAGTGGAACCAGGGGTGTCAGTAAACAACTTGAGAGTTACCAGTATCACGTTTTTATCCTTTTGTTTACGTAGAGCTGGCTGTGTAGTGTAGATATATGATTGCTTCAACACTCTCAGATGTGTAAGAACAGAAAGCAGAGAAGTGATTATCATCGGTGTGTGTATATGCTATATCTACACTGCACCGCCAGCACGATGTAGACAAAAGAAAAGCGTAATATTTCTCTGAAGTTGTTTACTGACACCCATGCCATGGCTCCACTAGTTTATGTAGCGTCCCATAGGGTGTTGATCCTTGCACTGTGTATTTTAGCCCGTCTTGTGTCACTTCTCACCTCCTCTTTCTTCCTTTCTTTCTTTCGATTTGTTTCTCTCCCCTTTTGCTTCCTACTTCAGAAGTATTTCTTCGCTAATTTGATCACTTTGTTGTAATGGTTACCGCCCTGATGGTGCTATTTATCCATATGTTGCATTGGTTCTAGTTGCGTGTATTTCAGTTGATGAGAATGCCCGAAAACTGGTTCATGAAAATTTCTGGAGTCCTTGAGTTCAGTCCGATGGGTTTAAAGATTTTAAATTTGTACTTTTTCTTGCTGTAGTTAGCTTCTTGTCTTCTAGAAAGTTGTTCAATATCATTGTATTGGTACTTTTCTCAAGCCAGGGACAGATGCGCCACTGTGTGTGAGTGAGTGTGCGGGTGAGTGTGTGGGTGTGGATGTTTGGAGTGGATCTAGGCCTGGTAAATCAAGACATTTGGTTCTGCTCAATGTTTCGCTCCCACAATGCCCAATATGAAATGCTTGCAATCATATTGGTAGACGCAACAGCCGCACGCTCTGTGAAAATTCCTTGCAGGTATAGTGTACGTAGTGTGTGCACTATGTCAGCTGGAGAATCTATTCCTTCCCTACCAGTGGGATTATACTCAACTGCGCTTTGTTTTTGTTGTGCTTCTGCCACTGTCGCGGCCACATTGCAGACTGGACGACGAGGCTGAGTCTCGATCAAAGCTGGAGCGTTTGCTTGGTGATAGTGAGCGTGAGTTGCAGAAAAGTCGCCAGCACATCGGAGACATACTCAAAGAGCAGACCAAACTGGAGGAAAAGGTCAAACAGCTCTCGAGTGATTCGGATGCTTTCCAGGAGCAGGCGGAATCAGCCAGAACAAACCTGGAGTCGGAAATGGTTGCTCGCGTCAATGCTCAGAATAACTGCCAGTCATTGCACGAGGAGATTGCCTTCACACTCAGTGTTCACAATCAGGTTAGTTGATTGCCTTCTACTCCCGTGTGTTTATAGCAACTAATTTCTCTCTGTAACTGAATCCCCCCCCCCCCCCCCCCCCCACACACACACAAACACAATACAAAACAATACAATATGCCCATCCGGAGATGATAGCAGGTCCCAAAGGGACCAACAGTGTTCAAGTCACGAGCAGAACCGGGCGTGGCGAGTCAAGTCCTGGCGACGGCGATAGCGCTTTCCACAAGTGCAAACGAAGTCTAAGGTGACGGGCCTCGGTCGGAGGAACGGTGCTGCATGCTGATCTCCACTCTCTGCGATCCTGGGCAAGATATAACCAGTCCACTATCTGGCGGTCCTTCATGTCGGACACAACATTGTCCCGCCACCGCTTCTGGGACCCATGACTTGGCCCGGTCCTGTCCAGTTCGCCGAAGAGGATACCCTTTTGCGCACGGGAGTCATCCATTCCAGCAACATGGCCTAACCAGCGGAGTCGACGCGTTTTCCGTGTCTCCTCAATTGGCTGTACCTTGTAACACAAACACACACACACGTACACACGCACACACACACACACACACATGCAGCTTGATGCCATACATGGGTAGATGTCTCCCGCCAATACTGGTTATACTCGGTTGCCCTTATTATTTTTTCTATATTTGATCATAAGTTAGTTGAGTGTTGGGGGCTATTAACATGGAATTCGCTCTCTGTCTGTCTGTCTGTCTCTCTCTCTCTCTCTCTCTCTCTCTCTCTCTCTCTCTCTCTCTCTCTCTCTCTCTCTCTCTCTCTCTCTCTCTCTCTCTCTCTCTCTCTCTCTCTCTCTCTCTCTCTCTCTCTCTCTCTCTCTCTCTTTCCAATCTCTTTCCCCATCACAGGAGAAGGAGGATCTTCACAGTCGCCTGATGAACCTTGAGAAGGAGTACTCGGCGCTGAAGGGCAGCTTTGAGAAGGAACTGGAGCAGCGCGTTGCTCTCTCACTGGCCATTGGCCGTGATGAGCAGGAGAAGGAATCCGACCGTATCCGTGCTGAGCTCAATCAACTCTACATGAGCAAAGTAAGTCTGCTGTCAACTCGTAGAGTTCTGGACGGCCGTTGTTTTCTTTTCTTTTTTCCCCCGCAAATTGTGTGAAGTGCTGAAGGACAAGTGTCTGCGTGACCGTGCGTATGAATGCCCGCATGTGCATGTGTGTACGTCTGGTTTCTTCCGTTTGTTTGTAGCGCTACCATAGCCTGTTGTCCCGATGGCTGTCGTGCATCACTGCATTCGCTGCATTTCTTCAAAACAAAACTATGTTTGCTGGACCCTGTACCAAGCGGAATCCTGTATTGACCGGACAAATTTGCATGCACCAAAGTCCTGTGAATCGAACTTTCATCCCTGGATGAAGTGGAATCCTGCCATATCATGACAGTTTCCGCTGCACCACGAGCGTCCGTTTTGGGCAGGTTTTACTGTATCTCTAGTGCGGTGCTGTTTTTGAGGGTTTTGCTGTGCTTCTGCCCCCCCCCCCCCCCACACACACTCACTTGCTTTGCTTGCTGTAGTTGAAGGACGCAACAGATCGTCACGATCGGGACATTGCCTCTTTGAACAAGCTGGCTGAAAGCAACCTGGACCTATCCAACAAGAACTATCAGCTAAATGAGGAGAATGCTGCTCTCTCGGCAAAGGTGAGTAGTTCAACTTGTTGTGTAGCTTATTTACTACGTCTACGATAGAGTATGCAAGTCTGCATAGAGGTTCTGGACAGTGGGACTGGTTGTGTACGTCAATATTGATGGGTCATAGAATCTGCGGTTCGGTTGTACTTCTGCACTGCATGAGTAGGATTTATCGGCTTTAGGGCCGGGTTCCACTGCGGCTCCGCTGCTCCGCTGCACTTAGCTGCATGCAGTGGAGCAGCGCGGTTCCACTGACACTCGCCATTCGCAGTACCTCGGTTGTGCTCCACATTTTTTGATGACGTTTTTACCTGCCTGCGCGCGCGCGCGCGCGCGAAATCAAAATAATCCTCGTGTTCTGGCCTGCGCAACGAATTAAAATTTTGAATTTTTTTGCGTACAAAACAATGCAAAGTACGGGAAACAGGTCGAGCCGCAACCGCGGCTCGCAGTTTTTGATCAATGTACTTGTACATATACAGTGTGTATCGTTTATAAAGTGACCGGATGTAACGATATACCGGCTATAATGATAGAACTCGTCAAAATCGAATCAGAAAAAATACAGCTACACATTAATATCACTATACACACTATTATCGGCTATACCGATATATCGCTTATTGTGATGGGCTTCAGGAAGCAAACCATATCAAATGTACAGGAACGTATCGCATGTAATGATGATCAAGAGTGATGATCACAAATCAAGCGTTCTTCCAATTTAGTTCACTTCTTCCAAAACTGATCCAGTGCTGCCTGGATGCATCTGGCAGCAGACGTGAGTGAGAGAAATTTCTTCCCTGTATGCTGTAAACAGCCACATGTACACGTGGCTGCTTTTCATGCTTTTTCCAGCGTGAACCAGGGAGCCCTACACATACCTACACGTATGTGTAGAGCTCCCTGGCGTGAACGCATCATTTCATGCACAGTCATGTGCCATGTGTGAGTCGTACATGCAAATCGGCTATAGTGATGCACCGGATATAGTGATAAATTATCGAAAATCAAAGGGGCACGCTACATGCAGTATTTACTGTACCAGTGCTCCTTCCATAGTGTACTGCTATCACTGCAGTAGTACCGATAGTAGTAGTGTGCATGTACCAGTATCCGTATAAGATACCGGTACTGTACTTCGTGTACTCCCTGTCTGCCATTCATACGTGCTGTACTGTTATCTAGCCACGGCTCCTGTATACACCCGAAGAACATCTGCCTTTGGGATTGAAGACAGTGGTACTGAAGCATTTTAGTAGTGAGCTACCATGAGGCTACAAACGTTTTTTTAATTTTTTTTTACAAAGACCACTTAAATGCCAAACATGAGATGCAGCTAGGGGAAGCACGCACAACCTGAATCGTGGCAGTGGTGGTGAGGTTTAGGGAGCTCCGCCGACCTAGGGTTTCGACTTCATGGCCACCTAGACGCACCACCGTATGCAACTCCAGCTGTCTGAAGGTGTTTGTATAGTACAGGAGAAGTCCTCCTTCATGTTGGTCTGTCTGTTGGGCAAGAACTGTAACCAGCGTGGAGAGATTCCACTGTTGAGCACCGAGTATTTCGGTGGCGCGGCCACGCATATGCCGCGGCTACTGGCTCTCTGCTGTTCAGGTTTACTCCAGCTTCCGGGAAGCGGTGCACTAGGCACTGTAGAAGCCCGTGATGTTGCTGTGCCCTGTCATGCCTGCCTCTGGCTTTGCGCACGAAATGGCCTAGCGCCCGACCTTGCTTTGTGGCCCTTTGCACCATTGTACTGTGTGTGTGTGTGTGTGTGTGTGTGTGTGTGTGTGTGTGTGTGTGTGTGTGTGTGTGTGTGTGTGTGTGTGTGTGTGTGTGTGTGTGTGTGTGTGTGTGTGTGTGTGTGTGTGTGTGTGTGTGTGTGTGTGTGTGTGTGTGTGTGTGTGTGTGTGTGTGTGTGTGTGTGTGTGTGTGTGTGTGTGTGTGTGTGTGTGTGTGTGTGTGTGTGTGTGTGTGTGTGTGTGTGTGTGTGTGTGTGTGTGTGTGTGTGTGTGTGTGTGTGTGTGTGTGTGTGTGTGTGTGTGTGTGTGTGTGTGTGTGTGTGTGTGTGTGTGTGTGTGTGTGTGTGTGTGTGTGTGTGTGTGTGTGTGTGTGTGTGTGTGTGTGTGTGTGTGTGTGTGTGTGTGTGTGTGTGTGTGTGTGTGTGTGTGTGTGTGTGTGTGTGTGTGTGTGTGTGTGTGTGTGTGTGGTGTGTCTGTGTCTGTGTCTGTGTCTGTTAGATTGCCCAACTGAGCAAGCAGTTGGACAACAGAGAGTACGAGAGACTACGTGACCGTGAACACTATCGTGTTGAGAATGAGCGATTGCAGAAGGAACTGGAGGTACTGCAGCGTGAACTGTCCTCGAAGCTGACTGAGTTTGCTGACCTCATGGACGTCAACATCCGCCTTGACAAGGAAATCTCGCGCTATCACCGCTTACTGCATGAGCAGGAGAAGAAGTAAGCCAGGATAAACATGACATGATGTGTGCTGAAATCACATACTTCACATGCATGTCAAGGCATCTTTTCTTACCTGAACTCCCCAGATGCGGACACGTTTACTAACCGGACCGTCCATGGGTCGCTTCCTGTGCTAACCGGACTATCCCTGTGCCTTGTGCTGTGTGTGTCCATGGGTCGCTTCCTGTGCTAAGCCCCGCCCATGGGCCACTTCCTCTGCTAACTGGACTATCCCTGTGCCTTGTGCTGTGTGTGTCCATGGGTCGCTTCCTGTGCTAAACCCCGTCCATGGGCCACTTCCTCTGCTAACCGGACTTTCCCTGTGCCTTGTGCTGTGTGTAACTGTTCTGCTCTTAACCCTTTGAGCACGCATGACGTATTAATACGTCACGTACAGTGTCACTGCACCCACGCATGACGTATTATTACGTCGTGAGTGTACATAGCGTACAAACGCGATTTGCATGAACCGCGTGAGTTCAAACTATCGTAACTCGGTCAATTCTTGGCCGATTCTCACGATCGAAATATGTATCTGCAAGAGAAAACTCTCAGCTTGCGATAGAAACAATCGCCGAAGCGATACGACCCCGGGTTGTTGAGATATGCGACTCGACACGGCAAATTCAAATCGATTTTTTTGCGAACTCTGCAGAACGCGTATTTTCCATTTTCGATCATTTTCGCGCTATCTGCTGCCATGGAAACTAGATTCAAATGATGGCAGCGGATCTGGGGAGTCCTCATAAAAATTTGAGCTCGATCCGAGCAAGGAGAGTGAAATGGCAGCTGAGGATTTGATCTCCTGGCCGTGCTCAAGTCTGTCGAGCGCGTGCGTCAAGTTTGCCAGACTGTAGCATGGGCTTTTGGTGTCGCTCCGAGCTGAGCTTGGAACTATTTTGTTCCTCGCCTCAAGACCTTTGCAGGAAGCTCAAGATCGTGGAATTCGTCCAAAGAAAGGTAAAGTTATCGATCCTTGAACAGCTACTACTTTCATAGGAAAAACGCGATTTTTGCAGGTGTTGACGTGGGGCGGCATTCAGGTAGCGTCGTGCTCAAAAGGTTAACTGTACTGTGTGGCCTTCCAGCATGGACAATGTATTGAAGTGATGCATGTGTAACAGCACATACTAAGTTTGGGGTGACGGGCAGTTCCCAGTTATACACTGGGCTCCTGTGCCAAGCATCCAATTGTATCTAAGTCTGTGATTCTACTGTGTGTGTGTGTGTGTGTGTGTGTGTGTGTGTGTGTGTGTGTGTGTGTGTGTGTGTGTGTGTGCGTGCGTGTGTGTGTGTGTGTGTGTGCGTGCACATACATGTACATTGTGTTTTGCAGGGTTGGTCTTGACGGCAGCCTGTACCTACGCTCAGCGCCCACCTCGGCCCAGAAGGCCAGCACCTATTCCACCTCGTCGCCGTTTGGCCGTCCCCCACCACCACCAATCAGCACCTTACCACCGCGATGCAGCAGCGCAGATCTACAACAGCCTCCGCCACTTCCACCGCGCCGCACGTCAGCATCGGAGGACAGTGGCGATGAAGCGGCGGCCAACGCCGAGACTGGAGCTCCGCTCATGAGTGCCTCATCGCTCGTCTCCTTTCTCACCGGTATTGGTCGCAAGCGTCGGCGTGCTACTGGCCACACCGCTAGTGATCCGAACAATGATGAATGCGTGAGCACAGAACATGACGGCTCTTCTGCTGGAAAACCATCATTGCCGCCTATCGAGATTGAGGTCTGCAGTCAGGGCCACTTTGTCAAGTTGAAAAGCAACTCGACCGAGGTGAGTCGTGGGCGGCGCGCAATGCTTGTGTGTGTGCCTGTGCGTGTGGACGTGTGTGTGTGCGTGTGTGTGCCCTAGTTTATCAGTGCATTTGGCTGACAGCAGTAGCCCACGGTGCTCGCAGACGACACCGTACAGTGGGAGATGAGAATGATATGCCAGAAGTCAATGCTTCATGTGGTAGCTCAGATTCTTGCGATACAATGGGATGTGTGGTCATATGGTTTGTGTATGGCAGGTGCACAAAGCACTTTTTTCTTTTCTCAAGAGACATGCAGTCTGGTATGTTTCACGAGATGTCCAGTGGAGAAAATGGTATTAGTGTACGCATGGTCTGGTGAGACCACCACCAATGTAAAATACAGTGTACTCAATTTTTTTGTATTGTTTTTTTTTGCGCACTGCTGATCTCTTAGAGGTGGAACTTGCAGTGATGTTCCAAGTATCAACCTCCACGCCTTGTCTCACTCTTACGTACAGCTGGTGAAACTGTTTTGTCATCAGTGACTACTTTGTGGCTGTTGCCTGACTGTAATCTCTGGTGTTGCACCTGTTTATACTACTTCAAAGTAACTTATTTCTTACCGGTAGTCAATGTTGGTGGCAGACTTTAATCTTGGCTTGTCATATCCATGTTGAATTGTTTTAGGAGATTCCTTTGGCTGGTTGGCGTTTGGAAAGACGTCTAGAAAAGAAGACACTGGTGTATCGCTTTTCTAAGAATGCCGTCCTCCAGTCAAACGTGCCCGTAACAGTGAGTTTTGCGCAGTGATTCAGTTCTTGGCTTGTACTGACTGGCTGTGTGGAAAGCTTCCTTTTGAATTTTCTGTGTGCCACTCGTTGCACTGAGACTGTTAGTTTTTTTATGTATTTATTATTATTATTTTTTACTGAATACCGCAGAACCATCAGATGCTGCACTAGTGCTTGTAGGGAAATTCTTCCTTCTTTCGGTGTGCCACTGTTTGCACTGAGATTGTTAGTGCTTGTAGGGAAATTCTTTCTCCTTTGTGCGATCTTGGCGTGCACTGTTGGTTACTTGTAAAACTCGTGAAAATGGCCCAGGTGTCCTGTTTGTAGAATGAATCAGACTGACTTCGTAAAAGGCACTTGTTGATTGTATACTGTTCTTGTGCATGAATTATGTGTGTGTGTGTGGCGTGTGTGTGTGTGTGTGTGTGTGTGTGTGTGTGTGTGTGTGTGTGTGTGTGTGGCGTGCGTGCATGTGTGTGTCTGTGTGTGTATGCATGCATGTATGCATGTGTGGTGTGTGCGCATGTCACTGTATGTGTGTGTCTGTGTGGTGTGTGCGTGTGTGTATGTGTGTTATCTGCATTTTGGCATTGTTCTCAGGTCTGGAGCAGTGGTGCTGGACCAATGCAGCGCACTGCCAGTGACTATGTCTCACGTCACGTGACCAGCTGGGGCGACAACGCACAGTACCCGGTCAATGCCATCGATTTCGAGTCTGTGGTGAGTGCAATTCACGTTCATCGAGACATTTGTTCTTTTAGACATCAGCATTGGTGCTGGGAGGGTATGGTGTGATGTAGAAAGATGTCGCTTTATTGGAAATGTCCAATGAAAAGAAAAAAAATGCTGAAATTCATTTTCTGTATTTTTGGCTTGAGTACTTTGCAGCAAGGAAGAGACTACTTGTACAATTTTGTTGTTTTTATTCCGAGTTAAATGTTCATGGCCCTTCAATAGCCAGAAATGCGATGCCAGTCAGGCGTGGAGGTGTTGGCTTTTCACTGCAATTGGGTTACTCTTGTTACCAACATAACCACTTTGATAAACCCTATTTCTAGTTGGCACGTTGTCGAACAAACCGTTATCCACTCCCTAGCAACTAGTCAAATACTGAAAATGCCGGTGTGAACAGGAGATGCAACGCTAAACCAATCATTGCATGATGGTGGAAATTTCCTGGTATGTCTACCACTGTCTACCACTGCTGCATAGCTATACGTACTTGAGTGCCTTTGCTGTTTGCGTTATGCAGAGCTCACTGACTTGTCAGTTTGAGCACTTCTGGCAGGGTACACGATCGGGCCTGGTTTAAATCTGGCTTTGGAAATTTTATTTTTCATTGCTATCAGGTTCGGCCTCGTTTTCTCTGTGCTGCGCTGATGAGTCCACAAAGGACGAAACAGTTCTGTTCGCAGATTGCGTACTTGACGCACGAATTTCATGGCACCGATTTTTGACCAACTCCACCAACACCTTACCAGCATGTAACTGTGATTCGTATCATAGTACCGTAAGCATAACAGTCAAACTCAGGATTCAGGTATTTTTTTAGCCGTTTGACATTAGTACTTGTCTATGAACCAGGCTCAAGGTTTGTGCAGCCAGCCTTGCATACAAGTATCCTGGGTGCCTAACACTTTTTTTCCCTGACGGGGTACGCTTTGTCGGGTTTTCACTGTACATTGTGTCTGAGCTTTAGCTCCTGTGCTTTGTTGCGCTTGTCCCTTTTGCGTGCCTGCAGGTGCGAGCCAGCACGGCAGGCGTTGATGCTGCACTCAAACAGGATGCCTCGCCAACAGCTAGTCCCAGCAAGAAACGTTGCCAAAATCGGGCATCTACTCCTATGGACTCTGTGACGACGACGAGCGGCGGTGCTGATGCTGTTGGCCTGAATAGCTTTGCTGCGGAGAGCGCGCGATCTGACCGGATGTCTGTATCGGAGGATGAAGCAGCTAGCGCCTCTGTGGCTCAAACAGTGACGGTGGACACGGAGTCCGTGTCGGAGGAGTCCACATCTCATCGCCACCGCGTCACACGCTCGGCCACCAAGAACAGCAAGGGTAGCAGCAAAGTGGCGAGGCTGCGCGCCCGCAGCAAGTCACCAGGCCGACGTATCCTGGCCAAGTCCTTGTCAACAGTCGCTGCTGCGGCCGCCGCTGCTTCCTCCAGTGTCGCCGCTGCTAGTGCATCAGTTGAGACAGTCAGTGAGAATGAGAGCAATGCTGACACTCAAAGCAGCAACGAAGGAACTGTCGACGATTCCTCTTCGGCGAAGTATTCACAACGCAGCAGTGCTGGGAGCACCACTCTCTCCGCAGCATTCAGCGTGCGTAGGAAGGTGCAATCCAGCTCGTCTACAAGTAACATAACCACTTCGTCAGTTGATGTGAAAGGAATCAGTACTAGCCAGTCGACGACCCATGCTTCAGTTAGCGAAGCCGCACGGCACGTATCCGCCTTTAGCAATGAGGAGCTCTTTCATGACCAGGTATGTGTATGGACCTTGCTGCAGCTGCTATTGGATTGGATTGGATTGGATTTTTATTTATAGTGGTGACTATAACAGACAATTGCCTAATAACAATAGACCCACTCGAGGGAAAGATGCAAAAAGATATGAATAATTACTACCGGTATTGGATAGGTGATCATGTTCGCATTTTGCATAGCTGAAAGTCATAAGTACTAGCGTGAAAAAGCAAGGCATTGGGGTAACAGTTTCTTAAAACGGGCGGAGTTATCCACACAGCGAGCTAGAGGGTGCAAATCATTCCACAGCTTAGCACATTGGAAGGAAGCGCCATGACGGGCAAAGGCAGTTCTGAGCATGGGCAACTTAAGAGTGCGTGATACAAGGCTGCGCTTTGCAAGACCATTATTTAAACGCTCGAACATTTGACTTAATGTGACACTACAGCGGCCTTCCAAACAGCGCCACGTCAGATACAGTAATTTCTTGCAATACATGGATGCCAAACGATCTAGACCAAGTCTCGCAAATAAAGGGCTTGATGGGCTACAAAAACCAGTATCGTACACTGAACGCAAAGCTCGCTTTAGCATTCGTTCAAGCCTACCTAACTGGGTTAAGGAAAGGCCAGCAGAAAAACAATTTGATGCATATAGAAAATCTGGCAACACTAGGCACTTTACAAAGGTTTCTCGGCAAGTCAGCGGAATATTGTGTCGATTTCGGAACAGAATACCAATTTTACTGGCAAGTTTGGTGACCATAGAATCAACTTGAGTCCTCCAAGAAAGATCCTGCTCCAAATGTATTCCAAGGTACTTTGCACATGTCACTGGCTTGAGCTGCACTCCATGACAGTAGACTGCAAATTGGTGGTCAGTAATATGTGGCGTAGACAGGAAGAGCACTTGTGTCTTCCGGGCATTTAGAATTAAATTGCGGTTTGACAGCCAGGTACTAATGGCTGAGACAGCTGCAGACAGGGAGTTGCTAAGCGCATTCTTCTGCGTACCGCAAACATACAATAGAATATCGTCAGCAAATTGAATAACTTTCACACAAAACTCGGAGACAATAGACTGGATCGAACGAACATAGAGTACAAAAAGCAGCGGACCAAGAACAGAGCCCTGGGGAACGCCACACATGCAGGGGAAAGGAGGGCTATAGTTCTCAGCAATGTGCACTATTTGGCGACGATTGGACAAATAGTCGGCAAACCAAACTAATGCTGAACCAGATATGCCAAGCTCAAACAAATCATTAATGAGCACTTGGTGCCTGACCTTGTCAAATGCTTTGGACATATCCACGGGCACAGCACCAGTAATTTGTCCGGCATCGCGAGCGCAAACAAACGTGTCCGTGACGAAAACTAGAGCGTCTTCCGTTGAATGTTGACGTCTAAAGCCAAACTGACAGGGAGGGTACAAATTCTCCTTGTCCAGAAATGAGGATAGTTGTCTATGGACAATTCGTTCTAACAGCTTCGACACAATTGGCAGGAGAGACACAGGGCGATAATTTCCCGGATCTTGAGGATTTCCAGCCTTGAATACCGGCGTGACATGTGCCAACTTCATGCCGTCCGGCACAGAACCAACAGCAAGAGATGCATTAAATATCAATGTTAAGGAGGGAGCTAGCAAATCAGCGCAGGACTTCAGAAGAAATGCGGGTATTCCATCACTGCCTGTCGCTTTGCTGGTGTCCAAGGAACCCAACAGTTTACGCACACAACCTATTGACACCGAACTGAAGGATGTAAAACCCTTAGGTCCCACTGGGCCCTGTGGAAGACACAGTTCAGGTGCTCGTTGTTGATCACTGACAACATCAGCTAATACACACCCAATGTTGCTTGCAGAGCATTGTGGAACGGATTGAACACGTTGTCTTCCGGATAACTCGTTCGAAACCTTCCACGTTTTCCTGGGATTACCTTGAACACTGGTGAACTTAGACTGGAAAAAATTCGTCTTCAATTCACGGTTCATACGAGTCACGATACGCCTGGCTTCTTTAAACGCATCGTAATCAGTCTGGCACTTAGATTGCAGCCATTTCCGATGAGCGTGGTTACGTCGTCGTATCAACAGGAACAAATGTTCATTGACCCATGGTGAATGCTGTTGCTGCGGCTGCTATTGTTGCTGCTTGTGCTGCTGCTGCTTCTTGGTCTCATCCGTGCTGCCCGACTAGTATAACCTCATCAGCATCCCTATCCTGATTGTCATGGTTGTTCATTCAGTTTCAGTCAGTGGCTCTGGTAGTCCGTTTTACGTGTTCATACCAGTGAAATGCCCGGTAGATTGCGTAAACTTCTAGGCTTGGTTGGCCATCTCTGCAGTAGGCACTGCGATAACACGGATGTTCGACAAGAAGAATTTTCGTGAGTTTGTGAGCACTTTTCGGTTCGCGGATTGAAGTGTGAACTTTCGCACTTTTCGTTCAGAAAAGCAGTCGGAACAGAAATTGCAGAGCCGTGCCAGGCAGTCCTAAAGTTACTACTCTCTACTATCTGTATCTGTACACTTGTACGACCTGTCAACGTCGTGCAAGCGGGAATCTTTGCTTATCTTAAGCGCAGCGCAAATTTCGTCACTGAATTTCTCTTTTCCCATTGCAGTGTGAACCCAAACGCGAAATTCGTCTTGCTCAACTTCCCCAATGGTCTTATCCTACCTGGTGTTGTCTTCTAGCTGTATATTGTCTCAGAGAAAGGTTGCTGTCGCTGTTTCTGTTGTGTCCATTGCACTTGAAATGTCGTGGTAAACGTGTACAGCCGGCTCTCACATGTACTCTCTCTCTCCCTCTGTCTCTCTCCCTTCCACGTTTGTTTTCTCCAGGGTGATCCGGGCAAGGAAAACTGTGTCATCTGTTAGTTACAACTGTGGTGACGATGATGCAGCATCACTACAGCACTAGCAACGATGGGGGTTGTGATAGTTCTCCAGTGCGTCACCTTTCATATATTTTTCAGATGGTATTCACTTTTTACTGCAGCTCTGCACTCAGGGAGGCAGGCGATGCGACGGTCTTCCTTTTTTTCATGACGGTGTTCCTTTTTTTCATTGCCTCGCCAGCTTGCCACTGTCCTTTTTGTTCTGTCGGCCTGCTTGTGTGTTTGTGCCACCGATCACCCCCTGATGGTGTGCAGCAACCTTTGGTAGTTTGTGTTAGGTTGCATTATACACCTCTACAAACTTTGACAAGATCTCTGCCGTTCAAGGCAAGGATTTGTATTTTTTGTTGGTCCTTCATCTGCCCTGAAGTTGCCTGTTTTATATATTTTCAAATCAGAGAAAACCTGTGCTGGTTGCTTATGGTCTGCTGTGTTTTATCTACCCGTATCACCGATATACGTTGAAGCAGAACCAGTTTTATTTATTTTATTTATTGTCCACCTGGTGGACACCAAACTGATGTATCTTTCTGAACAGTTTTAAACATTCTATTTCTTCCGAGAGTCGCCCATCTTTCTACTTTTCTGCCATTGGGTCAAGCTCACGTTTGTCAGCTCACCTATTTGAATTTCCTCCCGGCCTCTTCACACCCGGAGACATAGCGGGTAACTTCTGCTCGTTTTTTTCGATACGCTAATAGCTCTATCCTCTCTGTTGGCTGCATAGTTTTAGCATTTATTTGCAATGCTACTGGTGTTGCGCAGGACTGTACACTGATCAGTCTGTTTTTATTTGTTATACCAAAGTGGAGCTGGAAAGTCGGTTTGTCCGGCCTCAGTCCTGACCAACTGGGAATGAGTATTTGCAAGTTCCCAGTGTGCTCATACCAGGGAGTCGTATTTTACAACTCCCTGCCTCATACTTGATCTACGAGAGCCAATCAATGCTCGACTCTCTTTGTGTGTTGGTTTGCCAGTAGGAATCTATGTTGCGTTATTATTACTCTGCGCATGCATTCATGTATTGTTTTTGTCGTGGGTTGCACATGCACGTTGTTGGAAAGTCACCGTGCTTGAGTGGGGCTGTGAGGAGGATAGTTTCCAACACAATACTTCTCTAACTCTTGCACGCACTATTTGCATGGACACACACATGTGCGTGCATGCATACACACGCACGCACATCATCACCGTCACACATTCAGCGTTCTATGTCCAAGGCAAGAGTAGGGAACCCAACACACATATCTTGTAATAATTATAACTTGTATAAAATGACTACAGTATTATAAGTGGCCATCGGAAAAGCACGCTTCGTCCTTGCTACACCGACACGGAGAGCTCTTTCAAGTATTTGTACCGCGTAACAAATCCACTTCTTCAGCGAGGGTTCCTTGGTGTAGTGGTTATCACATTTGCTTTACACGCAAAGGGTCCCGGGTTCGAACCCCGGAGGGACCTGAGCTCATTTTTTTTCTGTCCGTTTGGGCACTTTTTTTTGTCTTTTATGATGTGGTGTGTGATTGTGAATTGTTTTGAATTGGTAGTATTTTGTTGTTCATGGCCATGATATTATGGTGATAATTGGCAAGTCATAAAGAAGTCAGTATACTATTACTAGCCTCCTACTTTGTTGAACGAAGATGGATACGGCTGTTGACTATATGGCTATCCACCGAGAAGTATGCAGCAAGATTAAAAAGTGAGTGAAGAATAAACTAAGGTTGTTTTCCATTACACTGCAAGTAGCCACACGCAATAGACTGGTGTACAGTTGTTGTTGGTCATGCCATCACGTTGTGGTGTCATTCGCGTCTTGGCATTATTAAATTTGCTCCTGTGTATTATGTTCTACTTCCCAGCATGTCGTGTCCGAATTGTTTCGTATTGTTGACAATAATAATAATAACTCGGATGTTGAGCCATAAATAAATGTAGAAGAGAAAAGGACATATGGATACGAGTTAAGAGTAACTATCCATCACTGTAACATGATACTTTCTGACTGTATATAGTATCATGTTACAGTGATGGATAGTTACTCTTAACTCGTATCCATATGTCCTTTTCTCTTCTACATAATAATAATAAGAAATTGTTCCGTTTAGAAGAAAATTCCACATGTGTCAAGACACGTGTTGTGTGAATTAATTGCTTTTATGATGCTGCTGTGCACATAAGTTATATTGCATTATTGGGATAATGATGGGAAAAGAAGCTGAACTGGCCGATAACATGTGATGCTGCACCAGCCATGAAAATTACCAATGTGATAGACAAGAATGTTTCAGTGAATGCTACAGTGCAATAACAAGAGTATTGTAAACTTGGAAGCTTATTTACTCTTGACAATAGCGTACATGCACTAATACAGGTGCTATATGCTGTAGTGAAGTCTGGCGTAGACGTGATATTAGAGAAGTTAATCTGCACGTTATTTTTGACGTGACGCGAACGTTCATCTCACGTTATTTGGCTCGCGCGTTGGAAAAACAGCATGAGTGAGTGACCTGCATCTCCCGTCGAAATTTGGACTTTTATGCCAAATTTGACGTAAAATTGTACCTCACGTCAATAATAACGTGCAGCTTAACCCCTCTATTGAGAAGCACAAGCACCTCAGATCGTGGAATGGTGTTCCGAATCATTGTCAAATGGTTTTGTGCCTGACAGACTGAGAGGTCCTCCAACTTCCAAGTGTTTCAACTTGGCGTGATACTATGGGATTCTACAGTCGTCGCCAACAAAATCTGGCCGATGGCCGCATACCACGAAGATACAGTGGTATGGTAGGCCTTCACGGCGGTGCAGTTCAGGGTGGTATGGTAGGCCTTCACGGCAGTGCAGTTCAGGGTGGTATGGTAGGCCTTCATGGCGGTGCAGTTCAGGGTGGTATGGTAGGCCTTCACGGCGGTGCAGTTCAGGGTGGTATGGTAGGCCTTCACGGCGGTGCAGTTCAGGGTGGTATGGTAGGCCTTCACGGCGGTGCAGTTCAGGGTGGTATGGTAGGCCTTCACGGCGGTGCAGTTCAGGGTGGTATGGTAGGCCTTCATGGCGGTGCAGTTCAGGGTGGTATGGTAGGCCTTCACGGCGGTGCAGTTCAGGGTGGTATGGTAGGCCTTCACGGCGGTGCAGTTCAGGGTGGTATGGTAGGCCTTCACGGCGGTGCAGTTCAGGGTGGTATGGTAGGCCTTCACGGCGGTGCAGTTCAGGGTGGTATGGTAGGCCTTCACGGCGGTGCAGTTCAGGGTGGTATGGTAGCATGCATGTACAGGTACAAGTCGTACCAGCACTACACTGTCCGTGTGTACAGGCGCGGTTGCGACAGCTTACTTTTTCTTCTTTTTCTGTTCAACTCCCTCAAAGCAATGAACGTTTTCTTGGAAGTAAAGTAAAAGTAAATTATCGTGTCCGTTCCCGAACACACACACACAGATTTTGCTTGGAAAGACAGTGAATTTTCAGTGTACGTCCAGGTGCCAGACAAACCATTGCTTTAGCTGTGAGGTGCCCTGTATTATATGAAAGGTAAATGACTGGTTACTGCCACTGGTGGTTAGGCTGACACCACACTATATATATACATCGAGTTTGCCTTTGCATACATGTACAGCCTATGGTAACTGCATGCATGCAACCACACTTCACTTGAGTGAGGGTGTATTTGAGCTACAGTTATGCTCACTGAAATCCGACCCAAAGTGCAAAGCTGGCGCCCTGGACCAATTGCGATTACTAGTATATCATTCTATGTGTACATGTGTACATCCAGCCGCATTCGGGCCACTTCCAGGGCATCATGGGCCGTGCCAGTCGAGGGCGCCAGCGTTGCACTTTGGGTCGGATTTCAGTGAGCACAACTGTACTTAGTACAATCGTCATGTATATGTAACTGTACCCCCAGAACAGTCCAAAATGCAGAACTTGTAAAAAAAACGTAGGTACGTTGCTTTCTACAGGGGTCCTCAGATTGCTGGAATGAAATGCAGAGCGTTTTGCGTTCTGGCTCCGTTTCCTTGGTGACGTATACGATGCAGTAAAGTTTACGCCGTTTTGTACCTGGTGTGGTTTCGGCGTAAGGCTTGTACTGCTGCATAATTCAGGGTCCTGTCACAATCATTCCGTAGTACAGTGAAACCTGTCTAAGAGTAAGACGGCCGCTTAAAGGACCTCCATATTGTGGTCTCTGTTACCAGGTGGTCTCCTTATCCAGGGTCGTTTGACTGGAAGTAGAATCCCTAGGTCCCGGTTGCAGTGGTCTTCTGGGACAGGTGGTCGCCTTATCCAAGTGGTCACCTTGACAGTTTTTACTGTATGTTATATCCAGGGTACTTTGTACTGAAGTGTTTCATTGTACAATGTGTACGTGTAGGTCAGAGGTTTGCTGCACTACATGTAGCATAGTGTCTGGTCAGAGGTTTGCTGCACTACATGTAGCATAGTGTCTGGTCAGAGGTTTGCTGCACTACATGTAGCATAGTGGCTGGTCAGAGGTTTGCTGCACTACTTGTAGCATAGTGGCTGGTCAGAGGTTTGCTGCACTACTTGTAGTATAGTGGCTGGTCAGAGGTTTGCTGCACTACATGTAGTATAGTGTCTGGTCAGAGGTTTGCTGCACTACTTGTAGCATAGTGGCTGGTCAGAGGTTTGCTGCACTACTTGTAGTATAGTGGCTGGTCAGAGGTTTGCTGCACTACTTGTAGCATAGTGTCTGGTCAGAGGTTTGCTGCACTACTTGTAGTATAGTGTCTGGTCAGAGGTTTGCTGCACTACTTGTAGCATAGTGTCTGGTCAGAGGTTTGCTGCACTACTTGTAGCATAGTGGCTGGTCAGAGGTTTGCTGCACTACTTGTAGCATAGTGTCTGGTCAGAGGTTTGCTGCACTACTTGTAGCATAGTGTCTGGTCAGAGGTTTGCTGCACTACTTGTAGCATAGTGGCTGGTCAGAGGTTTGCTGCACTACTTGTAGCATAGTGTCTGGTCAGAGGTTTGCTGCACTACGTGTAGCATAGTGTCTGGTCAGAGGTTTGCTGCACTACTTGTAGCATAGTGGCTGGTCAGAGGTTTGCTGCACTACTTGTAGTATAGTGGCTGGTCAGAGGTTTGCTGCACTACTTGTAGCATAGTGTCTGGTCAGAGGTTTGCTGCACTACGTGTAGTATAGTGTCTGGTCAGAGGTTTGCTGCACTACTTGTAGCATAGTGTCTGGTCAGAGGTTTGCTGCACTACATGTAGCATAGTGTCTGGTCAGAGGTTTGCTGCACTACATGTAGTATAGTGTCTGGTCAGAGGTTTGCTGCACTACTTGTAGCATAGTGTCTGGTCAGAGGTTTGCTGCAATACATGTAGCATAGTGTCTGGTCAGAGGTTTGCTGCACTACATGTAGCATAGTGTCTGGTCAGAGGTTTGCTGCACTACGTGTAGCATAGTGTCTGGTCAGAGGTTTGCTGCACTACATGTAGTATAGTGGCTGGTCAGAGGTTTGCTGCACTACTTGTAGCATAGTGTCTGGTCAGAGGTTTGCTGCACTACATGTAGTATAGTGGCTGGTCAGAGGTTTGCTGCACTACGTGTAGATTGTAGTATAGTGTCTGGTCAGAGGTTTGCTGCACTACTTGTAGCATAGTGTCTGGTCAGAGGTTTGCTGCACTACGTGTAGCATAGTGTCTGGTCAGAGGTTTGCTGCACTACGTGTAGCATAGTGTCTGGTCAGAGGTTTGCTGCACTACATGTAGCATAGTGTCTGGTCAGAGGTTTGCTGCACTACATGTAGTATAGTGTCTGGTCAGAGGTTTGCTGCACTACTTGTAGCATAGTGGCTGGTCAGAGGTTTGCTGCACTACTTGTAGTATGGTGTCTGGTCAGAGGTTTGCTGCACTACGTGTAGCATAGTGTCTGGTCAGAGGTTTGCTGCACTACGTGTAGCATAGTGTCTGGTCAGAGGTTTGCTG